GGCCAGCTCTCTCAGGGAGGACATGCTCTCTCTGTTGGCTCTGGAGAAAGTCCTTGTCTCTTTTCAGAATCTGTGGGCCTGGTGTTTCTTGAAGATCTCCATGTGCTTGGTCATTAATATTCTCCACATGGGGGTCCCAGATGCAACAGATGCCCTCTGCTCCCTGCTCTTCTTTCTTGGTGGTAGTCAGGTCCCTCTTATCTCTGCTCACTTGCTTACTCTCTTTTATTTCTCAAAGAGATTGACTCAAGACAGAACCTAATCCTGTAGATTGTATCCTGCACCATTAAGATGATTTCCTCTAATCCTGCCTTACTAACATCAGGGTTAGGATTCACAACACATAAGCTCACAAAACAAATAACTCTGTAATATTGAGAATCATGGACTAGTCACTTTGGAACATATTTGGTGGGGGGGGAGTGTCACAGATCAATCCATAACAGTCACTATAAGTTGGCACTGACTCAGCACACCTAACAACTAATCAACCCAAACCTGACCCATAGTGACCCTCTGTTGTTGTTAAGTGCAGTAGATATAGGGTTTCCGAGGAGCAGCTGGTGAACTTTAATTGTTAATGCTAACCTTGTAGTTCAAACTGACCTTGTAGTCTAGCCCATTAACCCACAGTGCACACCAGGACTCATAGTGACCCCAGAGAACAGAGCAAAACTGCCACTTTGAGTTTTTGAGACTCTAAATCTTTACAGAATCAGACAGCCTTAGCTATACCCCATGGAGTGATTAGTGGATTCAAATTGCTGACCTTGCAGTTCGCAACCCAACATGTAACCCATTACGCCATCAGAGTTTCTCTAACAACAATATATATGAAATACCTTACCTTACTGACCAATATCTTCTCCAACATTTGGGATTGTCATAACACCTTTATTCTTGCCAATCAGATGTACATAAAATAGTATCTCATTGTGTTCATTTCCATTTTCTTGGTCACTTGAGACTAAACATATCATCATATATGAGGGAGCTTCAGAAAGGTTGTGGGAAAACCCCATTATCCTTCAATTCCATTTTCCACTGTGGTGAATTACTTAATGTCTTTTCTAGCCGTCATATTTATAAATTCCCACCAAATGCTTTTTCTTGATGGGTCTTGGGGAAGAGAAGGTGTAGGGGAGGATGCTGATGGATTATATGATTCACTTATGAGTGATTATAATGGAGCCATTTGTGATTGGTTACTATTGCCATCCCACTGGATATAAAATGACCCATTTCAGAAGCAGAACGGGGAGAATCTCACTGCTATCAAAGAAGAGGAGTCAGGTGTAGAGTGGACCCTGCGATCTCTGCACATTAAATCTCCTCAACCCAGGGACCAAAATCTTTGACATCAGACACATAACAAAGGAGCAGTTGCAAAAGAAGGAAGAAGTAGAGCACCAGGCAGAATGGTGGACTTCCAATACAGAGCAAGTAAAGTGGAATGACTCTGGGCAGGAGGCTTCATTGCAGAGTGGGATGCCTCCGGGCACTTAATTGGGAAGCTGGTTTTTCTGACCCATGGAGCTAGAGTTGAATGCCTTTGGACTGAAGCTTATGGTGGAGTGAGTGCCCTGTGAACATTTATCAGCAGCTTTGTAAAATAAAATTGTCTGAGCAGATCAGAGGCCAGGCCAAGGGGCTGAGGGCTGCAGAGAGGCCTGCCTGTAGTCACAAATGCGTAGAGGGTGTCCTGACTGGAAGAACTATGCCCTGAACATTTCTGATCCTGAACTGTAAAGTTTGTGTCTGCATCTGCTCTCATGAATGATCCAATTCAGCATGAGTATGGAGAGTGCTGCGGGAGGATGGTTTGCTGCTCATTGGTTGGTTGGACAGACAGACTTTTTGAAGTCCCCTCATATGCTTATGTGCTTTCTCTTCTCTAAATGCTTGATTCTCTTTTACATTTTTCTATTGAATTACTTTTAGGAAATATCTGTATAATCTTGATACTAAACCATTGTTGTATGTGTTTAAAATAGTTTCTCTGAATTTGTAATTTTTCTTTTTACTTCAAGGTATCTTTGATGATCTGAAGTTCCTAATTTTATAGTCAAAAATACCATTCTTTTTCTTCTTTAGTGTTGTTCTCACAGTCTCAGAAGCCCTGTATAGGGTTGCCATTGTCTCATTGGCAGTAGGTCTGATTTTGTTTTGTTGTGCTCTTCAGTTTTTTAATGACTTTTCTCTCAAAGTCAGAAGGATACTCTCCTATAGTTCTGTTTTTGACATTTAAGTTATTAAGGTGTGAGATAAGGAACCAACTTCATTTTTTCCTCCATATGGTTAGCCATATTTTCAAATCTTTTTTTGCAGGGATCTCCTATATATTTTATATATTGAAATGTCATATAGTTATGGATGTGATTCTGGCCTCTCTGTTCTGTTTGTCATCTGTATGCTCCTATGAACTTATGCCAATAAAATTTTGTCTTAGTTGTTCTAGCTGCAGAAGTTCTGATATCAGGTAGGGCAAGATCCTCTTCCTTAGAAAGGCCACGCCTCTCCTTGCTCTCCCATAGAACTTTTGGTTTCAGATTGTCATGTTCCCAGATGCATTAAATCTGTAGATGAATTAAGGGGAGATTAACACCACGTAGTGGTTACGAATCAGGCTGCGAACCGCAAGGTCAGCAGTTCGAAACTACCAGCTGTTACGTAGGAGAAAGATGAGGCTTTCTGCTCCCAAGAAGATGTACAACCTCGGAAACCCTGTATAGCGTCGCTATACGTCGGGATCGACTTCACAGCACACAGCAGTAGCAGCAGCAACACCATTATGATATTTTCCCATTCTAGCCATAAACTTGGTCTATCTTTCTACTTATCTAGGCTAACTTTAATCTCTCTCAAAATTTTACTGTTTTTTTTCTATAGAGATTCTGTCATTTATTCCTTGGTTCTTATTTCCTTTATGGGTTTTATAATGTCCTTCTTTTTAAATTATGTTTTATAGTAGTTTGTTGCTGATACTTAGTAATGCAGTTAAATTTTTTATACTGAATTTAAAATTTTCATCTACCTTGCTAAAACTCCTCTATTATTTTTCATTATTTCTCTGTCAATACTTTTCTATCTTTTCATAATAAAATATAATAAATATTGTATAATAAAATCATCTGCAAATAAGAGACACAATTTAATTCATAATAGATGGAAGTATATTAAACATGTTTGATTTTATAAGTTCAAACCATTATTTTTTTAATCAGAGGATAATCAAGTCATTGTTTTTAAAACTGGTTTTTTTTTTTTAAAAAAAGGAAAGAATCAAGCATCCATTTTGACCTTCCTATATGGAGTCCTGGTGTGGCGCTGTGGGCTAATGCACCAGACTGCAAAGCCATTTGAACGGCAAGGTCGACAGTTCAAGCTCACCATCTGCTCCTTGGAAACCCTATACAGGATTGTTATGGGTTGAAATCGACTCAACGGCACTTAACAACATATGAATTGTACTTCTTAGTAACCAAATAAATAATAGCGATGTGTTCAAACAATAAATGAAAAGGAAATTATATAATTCTATTGTCAACATTTTATAAACCCCTAATGAATTAATAGGAGTCCTGCTATGGCATTGCAGGATAAACACTGGACTGCTAATTGCAAGGCTGGAAGTTCAAACCCACCAGCCGCTCCTCAGAAACCCTGTACAAGGTCACTATGAATTGGAACTGACTTGACAGCAATGAATTAATGAGTGAAAGCATTGGGCATATTGGCTGTTAACATCATAAAAAGAGAGAGCAAAACATGTGACTGTTGATGAACAGACAGCACACCACTTACGGTCTTGCCAAAAGATAAAAATTGCCTCTGATTGTGGTTCTGGAGCAAAGAGCTTACGTTCAAACTACAGAGAACAGAGGAACATTTTGTCTTTTATCATAACTATACAATCAGCACTATCCAGACTGTAGGAAGCATTACAGAGTAAATTGTCCAGGTTCTTCCATAGGTAAATTGTTAGGGAAAAAAGAATGAAGGAGGAAAACCAGTAGATTAAAAGAGACTTAAAGGACATGTCAAGTTTAAAAAATAGTAATAATAAACAAGACTAAATTATATATGTGGAAGTGTGGTGGCTCTGTATGATAATCACTGAACTGAGAACCACAAGGTTCGTGGTTCAAGCCCATCAGCCCTTCATGGGAGAAAGATGAGGTTTTCTACTTCTGCAAGGGTTTACAACCTCGGAAACCCTGTACAGGGTTGCTATGGGTCGGAACTAACTCGATGTCACTTAACATCAAGAATACATTATATACTATTATGCACACTGGTCATAAAGCTACAAAAACAAAAAACAAAACCAAGAAAGTGATAACTATAAAATTAGGATAGTGGTGCCTTTTGTGGGGGGCACATGATGGAGCACCTGGGAGCGGGCTGCTAACAGTCTATTTCTGGATTAGTTGGTGGTTTCAGAGGTGTTTGCCTCAAGCAGACACATATGTCCCTATTTTGTTTTACAATTAAAAAACTATAAAATACAACAAAAAGGCAAACAATGAACTGGAAAAGATTTGCAAAAAATAAAAATATATGAGAAATTTATGCAAATTGATAAGAATGTTACAACCTCAGTAAATTACAGCAGGCATAAATAATTAACATATTTTCATTAAAACATTTGACCCTCTTTGAAATACTCCCTGAAAGACAATTTTTAGAAGGGATGTGTAGAAAGAAATACTGTATTATATATTCACTTGCAAGTTTTGGGAGGAAGAGAGGAAGAGGAAAAGCTCCATATGAAAAATACACATTGATGTAGCCTAGTATCTGTTGTGGATGTAAGAGAGGACAATAGACATTCTAATAAGTGTTCTTTACTTATGGTAGGGTTTCTGTCATGTGATTCCAAAGTGAATGTAACACAAAAGAATTCTTTTGTTTTCTGTTCATGTTAAATTGTCCTTACAACTTATACTTTGGAAACACTTTATGATCAATTGCACTCAATGTTTTTTTATGCTTCACAGTGAGAGACCTACCACCTATTTGTCTTGATGTTAGACAAAAACAGCGCATCTCAATAGATGGATTACCATCAGAAATGAAGGCTTCAGTCCTTCCAGAACCTATGCTTCCTGTCCAGCCCAAGACCATGAAAGATTTTCTGTAAGTGTCAACTCACCATTATATGTATATATGTAGTTAGCTCTCTGTGTGCCAGCACTTTTCATAATTGTATACCTGTGTGTGAATAATTAATTGATCATCACTAAGGTATTAGTGAAGTTGAAGACACATGATTAGCGGTCTCAAGTTGAAGGTAAAAACAAATGAATGATAAATAATAGTAACTATGTTACCACTCAAAAAATCAATGTGGATACTTGAAGGAATAAATCAGGAATGAGAAAGTAGAGACAGAATGTAAGCAAAATCTCTCAAGAAGTTTGACTCTGAATAGAGAAAAAGATAGTCTATGATAATCAGAAGGTGATTAAGTATCAAGAATGACTTTTTCTTTTTTTTTTAAGCAGGTAAGTAAGTTGAAGGTGACTTAATAGCTTAATCCTGCTAATAATGATAAATTCATACTGTTCAGTTTCATGAATTAACTGACACATATTTCTGTATCTGGTTTCAATATTCAGAGTACGTAGTCTATGGCATGTATTTATAAGGAAGCAATGCTATTTTGTTTGAATAATATTTGTATCTATATGTGGTTAATGTATGTTCTTATTTTAGGGAAGACATAGAAAAAGTTAAGTCATCTGGAGATTGGAAAGCAGTACATGATTTTTATCTAGCAACATTTGATTCTTTCCCAGAACTAAATGCTGCATTTAAGGTAATAATACATAAAACACATATTAATTTCACTTTTAGTTTTAAAATTTCAAAAAAAAGATAAATTTACCCTTTTTTTATGCCTAATATGGGTTTAAATAACTGTTTAACCAATATACTAATTTCTGAAATGATATGTGATGTATCATATATTATCTAAGTGATAGACTCCTGATGTGGCACTGTAGGATCAGCACTGGATTGTGAATCACAAGACCAAGACCAGCAGTTCAAGGCCATCAGCTGCTCTTCAGAAACCCTGGTATACAGGGTCACTCTGAGTCAGAACTGATTCAGTGAGACTTAATAACAACATCTGAGTGATATCATTAAAGTTTTAATATGTATTGGTTTTATTTGACTCCATTCTTGCATTTTATGAAAGAAAACTATTAACATAATTCTTATATATTCAGCAATTTTACACTAACTGTTTATTTTCATCATCAGACTAAAAAATGGTAGATATGGTTTAACTATTAGTAAGTTCATAAAATGTAATATGCATTTAACTATTTAATTGAATTTGCAGAAAGATGCCACTGCCTCATTTAATACCATTGAAGACTCTGGGATTAATGCTAAATTTGTGAATGCTGTATATGATGCCTTACTTAATACTGTAAGTATGATTTATGAATACATGCCTGTAGTGTCATTCTGTGTCTCTCTCCTATGTTTCAAAAACAGCTCTATAAATACCTAAGAATCACCTTGTAACATAATTACAAACTCTATTATAATTTTATAGTAAATTTCATTGGAATACTTAGGGAACTAGATAATTTTATTACTTTATTTTTCTAATTAACAAAATTAGGCAGACTTCTTGTGCCTTCATGCTTCCTTTGTCATCAAAAGGAGGTAACTTATTTGATTGTATTGGAATAGCATCAGTATTTGAAGAAGACTCATTAACAACCTGCAATATGCAGATGATATAACCTTGCTTGCTAAAAGTGAAGAGGACTTAAAATAGTTACTGATGAAGATCAAAGAGCACAGCCTTCAGTATGGATTGTATCTCAATGTAAAGAAAACGAAAATCCTCACCACTGGACTAATAGACAACATTCTTATCAATGGAGAAAAGATTGACGTTGTCAAGGACTTTATTCTTCTTGGATCAACTGTCAACACTCACAGAAGCAGCAGTTATGAAATCAAACGACATATTGGCATTAGGCAGATCTGCTGCACAAGACCTTTTTAAAGTGTTGAAGAGCAAAGATGTCTGTTTGAGGACTAAGGTGTGCCTGACCCAAGCCATGGTATTTTCAATAAACTCATATGAATGCAAAAGCTGAACAGTGAATAAGGAAGACCATAGAAGAATTGATGCTTTTGAGTTATGGTATTGGAGGAGAATATTGAAAGTGCCATGAGTTGCCAAAAGAATCAACAGATCTTTGTTGGAAGAAGTGCAACCGGAGTGTTCCTTGGAGGCCAGGATGGCCAAACTTCGTCTCTCATACTTCGGACATATTTTCAGGAGGGACTAGTCACTGGAGAAGGATAGCATGTTTGGTAAGGTGGAGGGTCAGAGAAAAAGAGGAAGACCCCCAGCGAGATGGATTGGCAAAGTGGCAGCATCAATGGGCTCAAGCGTGGCAACAATTGTGAGATTGGCCCAGGATCGAGCAGTGTTTTTGTTCTGTTGTGCACAGGATCGCTATGAGTTGGTACCAACTCGATGGCACCTAACAACAACAACATAGATCAGTTTGTCTATAGGTCCACCACTCGTCTGTCAATTTGTCGTACTGTCGTGGCATTTGTGTTGCTATGATGCTGAAAGCTACTGCCACCAGTATTGTGAATACCAGCAGAGTCACCCATGGTGGACAGGTTTCAATGGAACTTACACACTAAGACAGTCTAGAAAGGAGAGGCAGACCACTTCTGAATGACTAGCCACTAAAACCCTTATGAATAGTAGCATAACATTGTCAGATACAGTGCCAGTAGTTGAGTCCCTCAGGTTGGAAGGCACTCAAAATATGACTGGGTAAAAAATCTGCCTCCTCAAAGTAGCATTGACCATACACAACATAAATGGAACAGAGCTTTCAGGACCTTCATTTCCTGATGAGATCAACTCAAAATGAGAAGAAACTGCTGCGAACATCATTAATAAATCAGAATGTGGCGTGTATGAAATATGAATCTAGGAAAATTACAAGTTGTCGGGAATGAAATGGAATGCATAAAGATCAGTATTCTAAGCATTAGTGAGCTGAAATGGGCTGAAATTAGCCATTTTGAATTAATCATATGATGAACTACGCCAGGAATGATGGTGGTGGTTATGTGCCGTTAGAGTAGGTTCCGACATACAGCGACCCTGTACAGGGTTTCCGAGGCTGTAAATCTTTACGGGAGCAGAAAGCCTCATCTTTCTCCCACTGAGCAGCTGGTAGTTTCAAACTGCAGACCTTGTGGTTAGCAGCTCGACTCTTAACCACTGTGCTACCAGAGCAAACTGAAAATGAATGGTGTCATATTCTTTGTCAAAAAGAGTGTATCATGATCTATTTTGAAGTACGATGCTGTGTTTGATAGGATAATATCTGTACACCTACAAGGAAGACCAGAGTCCTGGTATGTGTGGCACTGTAGATTAATGCACTGGACTACAAAGTCAGTTTGAACCATGAAATCAGCAGTGCAAGCTAACCAGCCACTCCTCAGAAACCCTCTGCAGGGTCACTATGGGTCAGAACCAGCTTGACAGCACTTAACAACAACTAGGAAGACCAGTTAATACCACTATTCAAATGTGTGCACCACTAAAGCCACTGATGAAACTGAAGGCTTCTACCAACATCTTCAGTCTAAAATTGATCAAACATGTAATTAAGATGCATAGATAATTATTGGTGTTTGAAATGAGAAAGTTAGAAACGGAGAGGAAGGAAATACGAGTTTGGTGATAGAAACTGCTGGAGATCACATGATAGAATTTTGCAAGACCAGAGACTTCTTCATTGTAAATACCTTTTTTAAACAACATAAAAGATGACTATACACGTGGACTTCATCAGATGGAATACACAGAAATCAAATTGACTACATCTGTGGTAAGTGGTGATGAGAAGCTTAATATTGTCAATCAGAACATGGCGAGGCACTGACTGTGGAGCAGATCATCAGTTGCTCATATGCAAATTCAGGCTGAAGCTGAAGAAAATTGAAACAAGTTCATGACAGCCAAAATATGACCTTGAGTGTATCTCAGTTTAATTAGTGGCCATCTCAAGAATTGATGCATTACACCCTAATAAACAGAGCAGTTGGGGGATGAAATCAAGATCATATAGAAAGAAGGCAAAAGGTCATTAAAAGGCAGGAAAATGAAAGAACAAAATGGATGTCAGAAACATCTTTCTGTTATTCTCTGTCAGCAGTTGATATTCTTGGTTCCACGACCTATTCTGAATCTGACCTGAATTTCTGGCAGCTCCCTGTCAAAGTGCTGCTATAATTGTACTTATTCAATCTGTGGAGTCCTGATGTGGTGTTCGAGGATGAACACTGGACTGCTAACTGCAAGGTTGTCCGTTCAAACCCACCAGCCACTCTTCAGAAACCCTATAAAAGGTGCTTTTAGTCAGAGCCAACTCAATGGCACTTGACAACAACAACTGCAATCGTTTGGTATATGAAGAATTTAAATCCTTCCAATCCATGAGCGTGCTATGTCCCTCCAGTTTCTTAGCTCTTCTCTAATTTCTCTTTGGTAATATGTTGCAGTTTTGTGGTTAGAAGTCTTACAATTCTTTCTAAGTATTTGCTTTTTTGTGTAATATCATAATTTCATTTTCTAATTACTACTAGTATAGAAGAATACTTTTGTGTATTTAGTTTTACATGGTGGTTTATTTGAAATGTCTACTTATATAATCCTGTCACTTGGAAAATATTAGAATTTTATTTCTCATTTTTCCATATCTGTTATGTATGTAGTATGTCTGTGTTTGACTGATTGCACCAGCTAGGAACTCTTGTACAATTTTGCTAAGAGAAGTGATAAGCATTTTTGCTTAATTCCTGATCTCACTACTTTACTGTAAAACATATGGAAGGGTACTTAGCATCATTTGCCATCAGAGACATAGAAATAACCCTACACACTCATTCGAATTAATAAAAATTCTGAAGTTTTTTTGCTGGGTTTTTAAATAACCATACCAAGAAAGTTAAGGAACCAGCAAAGGAAGGAGCACACCATTTCAAGGAAGCAGCAGTTAACCTTGTGGAATGCTGTTGAGAGATGTGTAGTAAAGATCTGGACAGAGAATGAACTGTTGTCTAGATAAATAAGTGATGACCTTAAACATCCATTTCAGTGGATTTGTAGGGACAGAAGCTTACTTGAGATGGGTTTAAAGAGAGAATGAGTAAGGCTCTGAGATGCGGGGATTATTGAGTCATGGCTGGAATCGGGGGGAATCATGTTAAGATGCATGACTATTTATTTGTTTGTTTGTTTTTTTAATCTTGGTTTCCCTTGCATTATAATACAGAGTAGACACTGGAGAGGGAGAGAAAGGAATAGTCAGAAACATCACACTAGGAGGCTTGTAAGTATATGATCTACCTTTAACCTAAAATGGGACTACAGCGTGCCCAGTGAACGAGGCTTCCTACAGAGCCTCTGCAATACATAAAACTATAGGTAGAAACCAGAACCGCATCCAGATCTCCAGAGTTGAGAAATCTCCACTTGAAAGGACGAGCAGACCAGCCTGGAGCAGCTAGAAGAATAAAAGATACCTCTTGAAAGAAAGACCTGCAGGAAAGATGGAGGCAGATGGACTGTTACTACAAGAACAAACAAATCGCTTCCCTAGGAAACATCAAGGCAAGTCGCCAGGTCCTCTCAACGCAAACCCCCTTCTAAGACTAAGACTCAGTGGAAATGCACGCTCTGATTGGTGACCACACACATCACCGATGGGGGGAAATGGGATAAAAGCAGCAATGAAGCGGCAAACTAAACTCTACAATGTTCAGTGGACTTCTGTGGACCCAGCTGGGGACTTGAAGGGCAAGCAGTGTGAGGAGACCTGGGGATTCTTGGGCCCAGAGTCAGTGGCGTGGCCACGGAGGACTCGAGAGGAGAGTGGAGCTACCGGCTGACGAAAAGAGAGGGCATGTGCACAGGAGTGCCCACACTTGCAGATGAAACCCACGTGACCTGGACCGGATGACTGGATGAACTTGACCTATACCTATGGAGCAGCATCTCAAAAGAAGGAACAAATCCTTACAGCAAGAATCATTCCCACCCCCTCCACACACAGAGTGGATGGAGATGGGCAACTTGGACATTGGATACTCAAATGGGGAGGGGGGAACTACTACAAAGGCAAGGAGTGACTGGCTTACAAGCCTTCAAGGGGGAACCTAGTGCTAGGGACATGGAGGAAGGCAGAATCTCCAGTGGGTACTATTCAATCTGTCTGGGCAGAGTGGATGAAAGGAAATATAGATGGGTAACTCGTGATACTGTAGTGAAGAGTGCTTATCAGGACAGATTGTGAGGGTTGGAAATGCAAAGGTAGGCGATTTGGAACAAGGAAGGGAGTGATTAATTCTACAGGCTAGGAGCGGAGCTATCTAGGACCTTCAACGGAGAAGAGCCAAGAGCGGGACCCTACCCAGAGAAACAGAGGTGCCTGAGGTGGAGACAGAGACAATGATGTGGAGCAATGAAGCAGCTGGGGACTTTGGATCCAGAGAGGGAAAGGGACTGGGGGGAGGGGGAGGAGGGGAAAGGGTAGGGGGCGGGTTTCTAGGATATACCCTTTGGCTGGTTGATGATGCATGGAGGGGATCGGAACCATAGCAATGAGATGATATATGATGGAATGAATGTAAAACTAAAGTTCTCTCGTGGAAACTACCATATAATTCACAATAAAACATTAAAAAAAAAAAAAAGAACTGGAGAAGAGAAAAAAAAAGAAAGAGAGAGTGAGAGGAGAGGAGATAGAAATAATGAGTACATAGGACTTTGTAGAACTTTTTGTGAAATGAGGTGGTAGCTGGGAGTGTCTGGGGCCAACTGAGGGGTTCTAAATGTTACAACACACTGTTTGGGCTGTGCAGGGTGCACATCACACACCCATGGGTCAGAGTTCTCATTGTCGCTCCCTAGAATTCTAACATGTGAAACTGAAACAGAACTTCAATTTCATAATCATCAAGTCTGATTTCAAGTATTGAAACATAGCTATAAAAATAATTAACATATAAAAGTTATCTTTCTAAGTTGTTAATACTAAATACCTTATGATTTTTCTTTTATCCACAGCCTCAAGACATTCAGAAGACAGTATTAAAGGGAATCATTAACAGCTTGTTAAGAGAATGGAAAGGGTAATTGTAATCAATATTTCACTTATCCATATAAGCAGTTAACCTAAAAATCATACATCCAGAAAAGATTTTAGTTGAGTTACAATAAAGATATAAAAAATAAATTACCAACCATTTCCAGTAGAACTTTTCCCATGAGATCCTTAGCTTCTTTTGAAGATCCATAGTAGACGGGCTTCAGAAAGTCTGTGAAGAACTATTGAAATCAGTTTACATGGCTTTTCAGTTTTTGATGGTGTGTCTAGTATATTTTGAGCACAATGATTTATAGTCTCATACTCATTTTGTAACTTTGTTGTTGTCGTTGTTAAGTGTCAGGTCAGTTCCTACTCGCAGAGTTACTTGGTCACATTCTTTTCTGAAAGGAATTTGAAGGAGGGACTTGGAGATGAACCATTTTTTCCCCCAACTTTTAATTTTGAAAATTTTCCAACTACAAAAAGTTAAATTGGACAACCATACCTTTCACTTTGAGCTACCTTTGAATTTACTTTGTTATGCTGTGTGTGTAAATTTTTAGTAGGATAAGGAAACTGACGTTTCAACATGTATTTCATAAGAACATGTCTCTACATAACCATAACACCATTATTATACCAAAAAATTTAACACTGATATAATGATTCTCTCTAAAATGCCATCGGCGTGGAAATTTGCCCAAAGATTCCTTAATATATGGATTTTATTTTTCAAATCAGGATCCAATCAACTCTTGAATTGTATTTGATTATCAGGCTTAAAAAAAAACTTCATTGTCTTCAATTCAGTTCCAACACATACTGAATTATCATGTAGGTATTCCATTTTTAATTTGAGAAATTGTTGTTGGATATTTGTCAGAGAGTATCAAATACATCTTAAGAGGGCAAGAAAGAAGTACTCATTAAACTCTGGAATAATAAAAACTCTTGATCAAATCTGATAATATGAAAATCCGATTAACATGGAAAATATTTTTTAAATTACTGGATTTTTAGAGGTGTTCAAAATATGACTCTTTTCATTAGAAACATCCTAAAATCACTTAAAACATGATTTGATTTGCAGCCATTTCTAAACATATCTCTTCAGGAATACATTCTAAAGTGACGATTTAGCTATCCCTTATTAAAGCAAAAATACAGAATTCTGAAAATGTTCATTATTTATTAGACTGTTTGCAGGGTCAGTCATAATACTTACATTACAAAATGTTATAATGCAGTTAACTCAGTATTTAGAGATCTTCAGAACCAGTCTTACTGTTGTTAAGTGCCATGGAGTCAGTTCTGACTCATAGCAACCTTGTGTAGGGTTTCTAAGGAGTGGCTGATAGACTTGAACTGCTGACTTTATGGTTAGCAGTCGGTCAAGTACTTATCCTCCAGTCTAGAGTCTGCAGGCTGTGAAGTCATTAGAACTGCAAGGTGGGTGGTTCAAGCTCAGCAGCTGCTCCTTAGAAACCCTATACAGGGTCCCTATGGGTAGGAATCAATTCAATGGCACTTAATAACAATGACAACAAGATCATCAACTTCTTGTTGTCAATAATGATTCATATTAAGTCTAGTTCTTTTGGTTTTTATCAACTTATTTCTCACAAAAACATTTGTTGGTCATTTTCATTAAATGCTGTGAAATTAAACCTTCATCCGTAATCTGGTTTGCTTGTTTCTTTTTTCAGTCCACGAACAAAAGATGATCTTAGAGCATATTTTATACTTTTACAGGTAAGGAAGTGAGAACTTAGTTGAAGTTGTCTATTCAGATTTCAATCCATGCATATATAAGTGAAATAAAACCTAATATTAGGTATTATTTGAGCAACATACTAAAATTTTTTTTAGAATTTTGGTTACTTGTGTCCACAGGATTAAAGCTGTAACAATCAACGGGCAGTCAAATTATAAACAAGATTAAAATTTTAATATAGTTCTTGCCTACCTGCATGCTGTTCAGAGACAAATAGAATGGAAGCCCTTCTTCCTCCATTCAATCTCTTTTCTTGTAACTAGTTTTACTAGACTCGAAGACTTTGTTTTATTTACTCAACCAGAAGGTTTCCCATTTTCCTATGTATTTAATTAGAATTTTTGTTAGAATTCTTATAGAATGTGATAGTGAACTTTTTCCTCTTGAGAGATACAGATTCATAATTAAAAATAATGTTATGCCTCGGACAAATAAAAATCTATTTTAGTTTTTATTATTCTTTGAGAAGGAAACGTGTTATTACCATACCTAACTTGCTACATGTATATTGTCCTTTACAATTTCAAAAGGTGTTCATGAATATTTAAACCTAAGAAAATGTAATATTAAGTAACATTGTTTATATGTTTAGTTCAGAATTACATCCAGTAAAATGAAGTATGTAGAGTTTAGTGGAGAGGAAAGAGAAGAGAGGAAGAAAAGGGAAACTGAAGAAAAGGACAGGTGGGGCAGAGAATGGGGAAGAGAAAGTTAAGGAGAGAGATGGAGGAGAAAGAGGGAAGAGAAAAAAAATGAGGAAATGTATGTAGAGATAGTAAAAGCTAGAAAAATGGCACCATGCCAGTAAAGTTTTAGGTGAGTAACTTAGTAAGAAGTAAATCCTGTTAATAACAGTTACCTGTTCTTTTCATGATCCATCACGACCAAGCAGGGTCATCCCCTAATTTTGAATTACCTTGTCAGTTAGTCCATTTTGAAAAGCACATAGCTCTCCTGTTTTTGTTTTTCATTTTATTTTGTTTTGTTTCAAATTTTCAGTTTATATTTCAATAGTATTAATTTTTTTTCAGGAGATTCTAAAAGGTACACTTTGTGATGGAGTCTTGGATTTAGAAAAATAGAGGTTTTGCTTTGTTTATAAGGCGTGTCCCTTTAACATTTATAAGTGGTCAGAGCCATTAGATGATCCTCCTCTCAATCTTTGTGCAGTAAGGGGGCTACCTCAATCACAGTAACAGAAGCACTAAAATCAGATATTATTTCATTTTTCTAGCATTTTTTTTAAATTATGGAAAACCCAGAGTTTTTGTTTAGTTGCATGATAGTAATTGCCACCACTTGTAAAATGCCGAGCCGACTTCTTCCAGGCACTGAGCTAGGTGTTTATATACATTTTCCTTATTATTACTCCCTGAGATAGATATCATTCCCATTTTATAGATGAGGAAATTGAGAATACGGGTTTATGAAACACTTTCTAGTACACAGCTGGTGAATAGTAGAATTAGCCCTCAGACCCACATTTGTTACAGTTCAGAGCCCAGGTTCTTTCTATGATTGACCAGAAACCCCACTGCCATCAAGTCACTTCCAACTCACAGCAAGCCCTATAGGACAGAGTAGACTGGCCTACAGAGTTTCCAAAGCTGTCATCTTTATGAGTCCTATGTGGCCCTGTAGGATGAAAGACTAGACCAGAATCACAAGGTTGCTTGTTCAAACCCACCAGCCACTCCTCAGAAACCCAAATCAGGGTTGCTATGAGTCAGAACTGACTTGATGGCACTTAACAATTTTTATGAAAGCAGACTGACACATCTTTCTCCCGTGGATCTGTTAGTGGCTTTGAACTTTTGGTTAGCAGCCAGGTGCTCAACCACTGCACCACCAGGACTCCTTACGTACTGCTGTGCTATTAAGTGCTATTGAGTCTGTTCCAACTTATAATGACCCCGTGTAGCGTTTCTAAGGAGCAGTTGATGTATTCAGCTGATGCATTTGAACTGCTGACCTTAAACTTAGCAATCTAGTACTTATCCTACAGCCCCACAACAGGACAGTAAATCAAAGTCACTTTGTTAGTTAAATAACAAATAGATTATTCTTCCAAAGGATATTCCCTAATATTTCGTAGTCTCAAATTTAGTTTCATGAATTTGCAGCTTACCTCATTAAGCTTAGTGTCTTTCCTTTTACAAGTTACAAAATTCTAACACAATTATCTCTAATCTCTTTTTTCAGAATCCTCAATTTAATAACACATCTACATATGTCATCTACGCTCACTTGCTACGACAGATAGCTACGTTAGTGGAAGCTGACCATCACTTCCTAGTTCACTGGTTTAAAAAGTAAATCATTCTATGACATTGAGAATGTCTGTAAAAAAGACTTCATGTATTAAGTTTGATTTTCAGTAGTAACTTTACAATAAAATATATTTAAGTGTTTTCAGCTCTTTAGATAGGATACTTAAAATGTATAATTCTTCAAAAACCAATTATAGAAATAAATTTTAGTACTAATTGATCATTGCAAATCTGTTTTTAATGTAAGTAACCATTTTGCTTGTACAAGTTCCTGTTGAGAATTTCTTTCTATCCACTGCTTTTGCTTTTTATACGGCACTTTTCCATTCTAGATTTTTCATATATCTTAAAGATGATGGCTGGACTTGCTCAGGCATTAGTATTTTAATTATTATTTCCTGTCTATTTATTTATTATCAGTAAATCTCACATTGTTTACATGCTGCCTTCCCCTCACTTGAAAGGGTAACCAGAAGATATAAGTGAGCCATCACTATCACCTTGTAAAACACATTCATTTCATAAAACTCTATTCATGTTAGCAATGACTTTTTTCCATGGCTGAGAAAAGTTGGAAAATGGCAAGATACTTCTAAAATTAATTTAAAATATATTCAAAGTCTTAAAAACTAAACAAGTTTGATACTAAATTTATAGCAGTTTTGGTGCTTATTTTTTCAGAAACCATATTCAAGGTAAGATTGTGTGACTTTTCAAATACTGGGCCATTGAAGAAACAATTTGGGGGAATGTCTAGAATTTTGTGTGTATAGGATATAGTTTGATACCTAAAAAATAGATGAACAAAATAGATGATGTGATTTTTGATTGGAATAATTTACAAATCTTTGCCAGATTATCCCAGAAGAGATTCAAGCAATTGGTAGAAAGACTGCTGCAGTTTATTTCTTTACGCTTGTTTCCTGCAAAGCCTGAAGAATTCCCACCTATCACAAAGTGTTCCTGGTGGATTCCTTCAGCATCGAAAGTGTTGGCTTTACTTAGTAGGTTGTTTTTATGTGTTTTTTTTTTTTTTAATTTTTTATTCTTTTTCTTTTGTTAAGTATTAGGGATACTTCCATAAGGATCTCAAAGTCCTTACTACAGAGGGCATTATTCAACTTCTAGCTAGCCCTTGAAGCAAAGTTGTTATTAATGCCTTCAAGTCAGTTCCAACTCATAAGGGCTCTGTTGTAATGTATTTTCTGTTTTGATAATGGATTTCACAATTAATTTATAAGCTTGTAAAAAGCTTCATGTCTTTTCTGGGCAGTCTTCTGTATTACGGTTACCAACTGCACAGGGCCTGTTAAGTAGTGATTCCTGAAAAAACAGGAGCTTCTATCCATAACTGAAGATCTCCAGGAGAAGCACACTGATGGGAAAAAGTATGTCTGTGGCCATCTGTGTATTGTCTTTACTACGCTTATAATCACCACCACAGTTGTTGTTTAAAAATAAATAAATAAATTGTTGGCTACGTGTTGGCCGTAAGTTATGTTACCTTTTCTATTTAGAGCTACAATGGTTTGAAATAGGAATTTCTAGATAAAGCCTATGTGGTAGATATAAAAATGATCTTTTCATTACTAGAATGAATTGTGTATGTTAGAAAACATCATTATATTACAATTGATATTTACAGATACAGCAAACAGTTTGGTTCATCCTTCCCTTATTTCTTATACTGATTTCTATAATTCTACATTGGATCACATTGATCTTATGGAAGAATATCATACCTGGCAGAGCTTTGGAAACTCTCACCGGTAAGATCAAAAGCTTATTTGATTATTCACCTGAGTGACATATTCTTCAAAATAGTGGCTTAATTTTAAGTATCTAGAAGTAAAATAAAATATGCACATACAGTCACATAAAAACTTACAAGCTGGCCCATCAGTTGAAGAATGGATAAACAAACTGTGGTACATACACACAATGGGATACTATGCTACCTTGAAGAACAACAAGGAAACTGCAAGCTATCACATAACATGGATGAACCTTGAGGACATTATACTGAATGAAATTAGTCACAAAAGGAGAAATTCTGCACGGGACCATTATTGTAAAAGAGTAAGAAAAAGAACCCACACTAAAGGGGGAAAAAAATTATATTTGCTGATCACCAGGAAGAAGGGGAAGACAGAGCGCAGGGTAGGGAATAGACACAGGATAGTTTGGAGTCGGGGAAATACACAAGAAGGGGGAGGGGAATGGAAGAACAAGGCAGATGGGAGAACAGTTAGGCAGGTTTGCATGGGCTAAGTGGGATGGCGGTAAATGATTTTAGTTTGTTTAATAGCATCTTTTCAAGAAGGGAAAAGCTCTCTTTTAGCATGTGATTTCTTATTTTCTGTGACCCAGCACAGGGGTCAAAAACTTTCTCAATAACGGGCTGTTATTGTTGTTAAGTGCCATCGAGTCAGTTCCAACCCATAGTGACCCTGTATAGGGTTTCCAAGGAGTGGCTGGTGAACTTGAACTGCCAACCTGTGGCTCAAACCAAATTTGCACTCCAGCTCATTAACACACAGCACCAAACCAGGACTGCTATAAAGGGCTAGGTAGTAAATTTCTCAGCTCTAACAGCCGTATGTATCCTGGTCTGTCATCATAGTTTGCAGATACTCTTAGACAAAGTGTAAACAAACAGCTGTGGCTGTGATCCCAAAACTTTACAGAAACAGGTGGTAGTCATATTTGTCCCATGGGATTATATCTTGCCAGTGTCTGATCTAACACATTGACAGTTACACTCCAATTTACATATAAATACATGAAGGCTGTATGATGCAGATTTCTTATTGTATGTAGTCCCATAGATTTTCAGGACACCTGACCAAAGTCTGTAATGCATTTCTAATTTGGATTAGATCAGCAAGACTATCCCAAACATAATGCATTTCCAAACAGTGTGATGTCCAGGAAATTGCTTTTATTATACAGGACACTGACTGAAAGATACAGCAGAAGTATAAGCCCCAGATTAGTTCATAAATTTATTCAGTTTGCCCAGGAGTGCTCTATCAGGATTGGCCAAATGTATAGACTGGCCTTCTGGGCATATCTCAGTCAATACCTGAGCACTCAAGCCTGAGTAACAATTCAGTGTCTAAAAACTTGGTCGGTGATGGCTATTTTCCTAGCAATATTTGCTTTAATGAGATGTTTTTTCTCTCATTTGATGCAATTGTGTACATATTTTAGTGACATCTTTTAATGAAAAATGTCCTCTAATCAGTGTGCCATAGTATTAAGAATGAGTGTTAGTTATCTAGTGCTGCTATAATAGAAAAGGAGCCCTGGTTACTGCAAGGTCAGCAGTTTGAATCTACCATTTGCTTCATGGAAGAAAGATGAGGCTTTCTGCTCCTGTAAAGATTTATAGCTTTGGAAACTCATAGCAGGGTCATTATGAGTCAGAACCGACTCAGTGGCACACAGCCATAATAGAAGCACTACAAGTGAATTGCTTTAACAACCACATAGTCTGTCACAGTGTAGAAGGCTGGACATCTGAATTCAGAGTACTGGGTCTGGGGAATATCTCCTTTCAGCATCTGTAGACCCTGTATTCCTTGGAATTCTCCATGTGATTTGACATCATTACTCCCTGGATTGGAGTCCTGGTATGGTGCTGTAGGTTAATGCACTAGACTTCAAAGTCAGTTTGAACTGCAAGGTTGGTGGTTCAAGCTTACCAGTTGCTCCTTGGAAACCCTCTAGAGGGTCGCCATGGGTTGAAACCAACTCGATGGCACTTAACAACAACAACATTCCCTGGCTCTAGGAGCTTCAACAGTTCAAGGACCCCAAGTCTAAATGATGTACTCCACTCCTGACTCTTCATTGTTGGTGTGGTAGTGAGTCCGTCTGAGCTTAGAACACTTCTCTCCTTTGATATCTCAAAAGAGATTGATTCAGGATACAACTTAATCCTGTAGATTGCATCTGACCTCGTTAGCACCATAGAAGTGAGGACTTAAAACACAGAGGGTGAGGACATCAACTTAGAGCTGATTGCATCAGATCTCATCATGGAGGTGATTGTATCTATATTAGATCTCATCATGGAGGTGATAACTGCATCTGAACTACTGGCCAAGCCAAGTTGACACTAAGCCTTAACTATCACAATGAGTTACATAGGAGTTTTGATCCTGTGATCCCTTCAGCTTTTGGTGCCAACCTAGACCTAGGGGGAGGGGATCACCTAGAGCCCTAAGGCAGGTTACCTCTGGCAATTTGTGATATGGGAAAGGTTGAGAAGTGCAATTTTAATGTACTTAATAGGACCAGTATCATAAAGCTCACCAAGTTCATTTTCAAATTTTCTTCTAGCATTTAGTGATTCAAAATTATTACGCTTAGTACTGAACAACTCCTACTGTTATTTTGTTTTGGTTTTTAATTTTGTCCCAAAGATTTCACTTGTAGTTCACAAAAAGATTATTTCCTTGTTTCTCGTTGTACCCAGTGATCACAGATGCATCACTTAACTAAACTTGAATAGGTACAACTATAACTAGATGAATTCAATGCAGTTCCTTCTGATGGGAGTCTTAAGTTGTGAAGTGACTTTACTGCCTCACTGTCACGATACATAATTCACCCACGTTTCTCTGTGGTTTATGGTTTTTATACATAACACAATGAGCTGTGACCAAGAAGAGACATTATACTTATAACCATTCATTGTAATGTGTCTTTGCAAACATACACTCCTTAAGATTACTACATCTTTTAATAAGGACTCCTGGTGTAGTGCCATAGGATCAGCACTGGACCTCAAACCAAAAGGTTGGCTGCTCCTCGGAAACAGAAACAGGGTCTATGAGTGGAAATGGACTTGGTGGTCCTTAACAACAGAATATACCTTTTAATTATAGTACTAACAGCAACATTTTTTCAAACGTTTATTTTAATGGACTTAAGCATATACCTTGCTTGTTTTCCTGTAATGCTAGTTAATACTAGATTTCCTAATCAGAAATAGCCATATAATAGTGAATTCTTCTATTAAGTTGAGCATATGATTTTTCTGTCCTAATCCTCCTTCATCAGCACTTTTTGCCTCCTGGTCTGGTGTTGGCTGTATTCTTTACAGGTAATGCTATACTTACTGGCTGTGTGCCCTCAAGTCGGTTCTGACTCATACCAACCTTGTATAGTGCCTTCTGAGGCTGTAAATATTTCTGGGAGCAGAAAGTCTCATCTTTCTTCTGAGGATCAGCAGATGGGTTTGAACCACCAGCCTTGCAGTTAGCAGCCCAGCATGTAACCCACAAGGACTCCATAATGAGATACACATAATAAATAAATAAATCATTTGTATAAATCTTAAGTTATTAGCACATATTTCATGTGTGGCTTTAAGTTATTAACTAATTGCTCATGTGTAGCTTCCATGGCAATAAAGGCACTGGTTAAGTGCCATTGACTTGGTTCTGACTCCTAGCGACTCTGTATAGGATTTCCGAGGAGGGAGGGACTGGTGAGCTTCAACTGCCAACCTGGTAGTTCAGACTGACCTTACATTAGCCCACAGCACCACACCAGGACTCCAAAGGCCCTGGACATCTAGTAATTAAAATAAATGATTCACATAAATTCATTTAGTAGATGATAAAATATAATACAAAAGTATTTTATATTGTTTTAAAGGGATACCATTTTGATAAAAATCTACCATTTTGCTTTTTCTGTTTTTCTCGTTGAGCAGGTTTTCCTTCTGTCAGTACCCATTTGTTATTTCTATAGCTGCAAAAAAAATGATTATTCAAAGAGACTCAGAACAGCAGATGATAAGCATCGCAAGGGTAAGCCATCTATGAAAATGTATTTATGTTGACTGTAACCAATATAAGAAGTAATTCAAGAGCTAAGCCAAAAGTCATGTGAAGTATTCTAACAGAATCAGGAATTAGTAAAAGTAAAATTCATATGCTTCCAAAAAAGTGCCTATGCCTGTTGAAAATATGGAAAGCAAGACACCTGTCAATCGTCACTCTCAAGTCAACTTCTCCTGAGATTTGCAAATGTAACAGGAAGATTAAATGCCTCTCAAAGTCCCAAAGTACTGGGAGCTTATTGGCCATCATCACTTTGCAGGGATCATGTTCTGTCTCCCGGCAGTCAGCATAGCATTGATGAGAACTACAACGCTGTTGTGGTGTCCTTAAGAGCAAATCTGCTGAAACATACTCTTTATGTTTTATGAAAAGCAAATGAAACAACAACAAATGGAAATAGGTAACAAGAATTATATCTCGGAAAACTAAGAAATATATCCAAGGAAGGTGAGAGATGGTTTGTTGATTCTTAGGAAAGCAAGATGCAGGAGGCCCATAGAAACTGGGATAGCAGGGCAACTTTAACAAATTGTGGAACAGACTGAAGTTTATCTCTGACCCTGTACCTAACCACTCACTTCATTACCATGAAGTCAGTTGCCTTCTAGCTGATTCTTACTCATAACAACCCTGAAAGAATAGAATTGAGTTTCCAAGGCTGTAAATCTTTACAGAAGCAGACTTCCACATCTTTCCCCTGCAGAGCAATAGATGAACTGCCAACCAAGAGCTATTGTGCTACCACAGCGCCTCTTCATTGCCATCCAACACAATGAAGTTATGTGAATTATCTGATAGCAGATTGACTTTTTATAACAGCTTTATTGTTGTTGTTTAGTGCCATCGAGTTGGTTCCGACTCATAGCAACTCTGTATTGGGTTCCCGAGGAGTGGCTGGTGGGTTTGAACTTCTGACCTTGTGGTTCACAGTCTGGTGCTGATCCTAAAGCATTACACTAGAAGACTACATTTAAATGCTCAGCCTACCTTGAATGCTGCTCATGTATTTTGAGCATCTGCTTTTGAGACATGATTATCTTACAAATTTAGCAAATTAGAGAAATGGAGGTTTTATAGTTTCTTAAAATAAAAAGGGAAGCTTAGAGCACAAAGAAATAGTTTCTATGTTGTATCCAAAAATAGGAAAAGAATTCTAATGCATAAATTGTAATACTTCAAAATACTAGAAAAAGTAAGAAATGCTTATCCAGAAGTTAGTATTTTTTTCTAACACTGAATGGGACAAAAGATGTGAGTGACATCCCAAAATCAACTTATACTGAGCAGGGAAATTTTAGAAACGGTCCTCTTGCTATGCCTAACATGGGACTTCCAAAGCCATACTACTCCCTGAAGAATGACTCTATACAAATATATTTAGCACTAGAATTATTGCTTGATATTAAGTAAATACTGACTTCAAGATAAATCTATATAGCTAATTCTTTTGACATATTCTGTTTTTGCATTGTATAATCTCATGGGCTTTTTTTGTACTTGCCCACCTTGGACTATGATTTTTTAAATATTTGTAATAAAAAAAAAAAAAAAGAGCTAGAGGTTCATCTAACTTATTCTGAGCAATTTTTCATCTGTGTCACTTCCACATAAGAGACCAGGTATAGACTTATGGCAGGTGTAAACCTGTCACAGGTTGTCTTCCACAGAGCATGACATCAAGTGAGGAGACATCACAGATTCCAGTGAATTATCAACTTACGGGCGCTGTGGGTAATGCTCTGCGCTGCAAAGTCGGTTTGAACCACAAGGGCAGCAGTTGAAGCTTACCAGTCACTCCTCAGAAACCCTGTACAGGGTCACTACGGGTCAGAACCAACTCAATGGCACATAACAACAACCAACATTTTAAAGTCCTGGAATGGCACTGTAGGATAAGCACTGGACTGCAACATTGGCAGTTCAAACTCACCAGTCACTCCGTGGAAACACTACACAGGGTCACTATGAGTTGGAATCGACTTGACACACTTAACAACAAGCACCAACATTTTGGAGTCACAAAGTGGTGCTGTAGGATAAGCACTGGACTGCTAACCACAAGGTCAGCGGTTCAAACCCACCATCCGCTCCTTAGAAACTACACAGGATCACTATGAGTTGGAACCACCTCAATGGCATTTAACAACAACAACATTTTAACTTGTTGTAAACTGTCATAGCACTTAGAATTGTTGTGATAAAATATTGACTGGTGACTGTTCTGACGTAAGAACAACCCCTATAGGTACCCAGTATAGCTAAGAACTTAAATAGTACAAACAGCAGTTGCAAAAGCAATTCCCCAAGCTAAAAGTAATTTCCTCTTCAGACTGTTCAAAAATATACCATTACTGGTTTATTTCTCTTGGTTAAAACTTTTCCCTAATAAAATAGGAATTCCTGTTGGAAGGAGTAGGCCTCAGCCTAGTCTGTCATCAGCATCCTAATGTAAATTTATTTACTGGGTTTCTCAATCTGACAGCTCACCAGGAACCAAACTGGAAGCAGAAAACCGGAAAGGGTACAATAAAAGGTCCAAGTCACAGGATATTATCCCAGAAATACAAATGTCTTTGCACACCAAAGTGCCCAGAGAAACAAAAGGCTATTACAGTAAAGCCCTCAAAAGCTGACCTGCACAAGGCATAAACCTGTCAGAGAAAGAAAATCCATGTATTTCCACTAAAGTGAGCTTTAGAAAAGTGGTAAGCCCGCACCTTACCACAGGTGGGAAATTTGCCAATCTGGAAAAAACAAGATGTCTCCACGTTCCTGCTCTCACAGATTCACTGTTTAGAATTGGATACTAAAGAGACAAACATGTGCTCTGAATTAGTGTTTTATTGTGAAAGTTATCAATGCCTCCTGAAAATACAGATTTGGGGTATTAAATTTTTATCTATTAAAGCAACATGCTGCATATATTTAAAATGTCTGAAATGTTTATTTTAATCTGAATAATGATTGTCTTTGCTACCAAAAGAGATGAGGTACTCTGACAAAACTTAAAGAAACTAAATATATAAGCATTTTCATTCTAGATGACATATAAGTATATTTCAATTTTTAAATATGTTGTTTTTCAATATATTTTCCAAAAATCACGAAAAATAGATTTTTTAAAATATTACCGATAGTTCCACCACCCAAACATAACTAGCATTACCATTTTAGGAACTTTTCTTTTGAGGTATGTATATATAAGCATATATACTATTTTATAGGTATATATTACTGTTGTTTTGGGGTGCCATTGAGTTGGTTCCGACTCATAACGACCCTATGCACACAGAATGAAAACAGTGCCTGGTCCTGGGCCAGTCATTACTATGCCAGCCCTTCTCATTAGGGGTCTTCCTCTCCTTCTCTTACCCTCTACTTACCTTCACCAGGGAATGATCCCTTCTGAAAATATGTCCGAAGAGAGACAAAGTCTGGCCATATTGGCTTCTAAGGAGCATTTTGGCTGTGTTCCAACACAGATTGGTTTGCTCTTTTGGCAGTCCATTGTACTTTTAATATTCCCTCCAGTACCATAACTCAAATGCATCAATTTTTCTACTGTCTTCCTTATTCACTGTTTAACTGTCATATGCATATGAGGTTATTGAAAATACCATGGCTTGGGTCAAGCACCCCTTAGTCCTCAAACCAACATCCTTGCTCTTGAACACTTTAAAGAGGTCTTGGGCAGCAGATTAACCTAATGCAATACATCATTTGATTTCTTGACTGCTGCTTCCCATGATTGTTGATAGTTGATTAGAGCAAAATTAAGCTTCTTGACAACTTCAGTCTCTTCTCCATTTATCTTGATGTTATTTATTGGTCCAGTGGTGAGAATTTTATTTTCTTTACATCAAGCTGCAACCCATACCAAAGGCTGTGGTCTTTGATCTTCATCAGTATTTAAGCCCTCTTTGTTTTCAGCAAGCAAGGCTGTATCATCTGCATAATGCAGGTTGTTAGTGAGTGTTCCTCCAATCCTGATGCCATGTTCTTCTTCCTGTAATCCAGCTTCTCAGATTATTTGCTCAGCATACACATTAAATAAGTATGGCGTACATCTTTCCTGATTTTAAACCATTCCGTTTCCCCTTGATCTGTTCGAATGACTGCCTCTTGGTCTATGTACAGATTCCTCATGAACACAATTAAGTGTTCTGGAATACTCATTCTCCATAATGTTGTCCATAGTTTGTAATAATCCATACAGTCAAAAATCTTTGCATAGTCAGAAAAGCAAAAGGAAACATCTTTCTGGCATTATCTGCTTCCAGCCAAGATCCATCTGATGTCAGCAGTGAAATCCCTTATTCCTTGTCCTTGTCTGAATCTGGCTTGAACCTCTGGCAGTTCCCTGTCAATGTATGGTTGTAGCCGTTTTTTTTTAATTATCTTTATCAAAATTTTACTTGCATGTGATATTAATAATGTTGTCCTTGGATTTCCATAGCCCATTGGGTCACCTGTCTTTGGAACCGGCACAAAATATGCATCTCTTCCAATCAGTTGGCCAGTTAGCTGTCCTCCAAATTTCTTGGCATAGATGAGAGTGCTCCCAGTGCTTCATCAGTTTGCTGAAAGATTTCCATTTGAATTCCGAATTCCATCAATTTCTGGTGGCTTGTTCTTTGCCAGTGTCTTCAGTGCATCTTGGTATGCTTCCTTCAGTATCTTATGCTCTGGAACTTATGCTACCTCTTGAAATGGTTCAACATTCTTTCTGTGTGGTGGTCTTTATACCATTCCCCAACTCTTTTGGTTTTTGGTCATTAGTGTCTAATGCAGCAAATCTGTTTTTGAGATGATCTCTAAATTCAGGTGAGATATATTCAAGGTCAAGGGGCTCTGGTAGCATAGTGGTTACTAGTTGGGCTGCTAACCTCAAGTGAGCAGCTCAAAAATATCAGCTGTTTCCATGGAAGAAAGATGAAGCTTTCTGTTCCCCTAAAGATTTACCCTTGGTTGCGTAGTGGTTACGAATCGGGCTGCGAATCTTAAGATCAGCAGTTCAAAACTACCAGCTGCTCCACTGGAAATAGATGAGGCCTTTTTGCTCCCATAAAGATTTACAGCCTCGGAAACCCTGTGCAGGGTTGCTATGAGTCGGAACCGACTCCATGGCACATGATCAACCGATCAATCAGCATATTCAAGGTCATAGTTTGACTGTTATGCATCTGTTTTCATTTTCTTCAGCTTCAGTCTGAATTTGCATATGAGCAATTGATGGTCTGTTCCCCAGTCTGCCCCTGGCCTTGATTTGGCTAATCATATGGAGCTTTCCCACTGTCTCTTTCTACAGATGTAGTAGATTTGATTTCTGTGTATTCATTCTGGTGAGGTCGACATGCATAGTAATCTTTTATGTTGTTGAAAAAAATGTATTTGCAATAAAGAAGTCATTGGTCTTGCAAAATTCTGTCATGCAGTCTCCAGCATCATTCCTACTACCAAGCCGTATTTTCCAGCTACTGATCCTTCCTCTTTATTTCCAGCCTTTGCAATCCCATCTTCAGTAAATTATCAAGACATCTTGATTGCATGTTTGATAAATTTCAGACTGAAGAAATTGGTAGAATTCTTCAGTTTCACATCACTGGTTTTAGTGGTTGGTGCTTAAATTTCAGTAGTAGTTGTGTTAACTGGTCCTCCTTGTATGCATATGGGTATTATTCTATCACAGACAATGTAGTACTTCAAGATAGATCTTTAGATGTTCTTTTTGATGATAAATGCAACATCATTCCGCTTCAATCTGTCATTTCCAACATAGTAAATCACATGATTTCCAGATTCAAAATGGCCTGTACCAGTCTATTTCAGCTCACGAATGCCTAGGATATTGGTGGCTTTGCATTCCATCTCATTTTTGACAATTTCCAATATTCCTAGATTTATACTTTGTACATTCCATGCTCCAGTTATTAATGAGTATTTACAGCTGTTTGTCTTCATTTTGAGTTGTGTCCCATCAGCAAATGAAAGTCCCTAAAGCTAAATCCATTTGCATCATCACAGTTAACTCTACTTTGAGGAGGCAGCTCTTCCCTAGTTGTATTTTGAATGCCTTCCAACTTAAGGGATTCATTTTCCAGCACTATATCTGACAATGTTCTGGTGCTCTTCATCATGTTTCAATATTCTGGTACTACATACAGTGTTCTACTGCTATTCATAAGGTTTTCAGTGACTAAATACTCGGAAGTAGCCCGTCTCTTCTTCTTCCTAGTCTGTCTTAGTCTGGAAACTCATCTGAAACCTGCCCATCATGGGTGACCCTTCATGTATTTAAAATAGCAGTGGCTTCCAGAATCATCACAACATGCAAGCCACCACAGTACGACAAACTGACAGAGTGGTGGTAGATACATATAGAGAGAGAGATAGATATGTCTACATAATGGAGTCGTGTGGCACTGTGGGCTAATGCGCTGGAATGCAAAGTCAGTCCAAACAGCAAGGTCGGCAAGCAGTAACCAGCCGAGCCTCAAAACCCTATACAGGGTCACTATAAGGGGAATCAACTTGATGGCACACAACAACTTATAATAATATCAACAAAAGAGTATCGTGAACATTATTTTATTTCCTGCTTTCTTCAATTTGATCTTAAACATGCTTCACATTTTTTGCATCATTTTTATGGCCATCTTTTTAAAATATCTGTGTTATAGTCCATTCGTTGGAAATGGGCTTCAGTTATTTCTGAAGTCTCATTTTTATTAATAATGCTGTGATAAATATCACACTGTATGAAATGTTTTGTGTAGAATTCTAAACAAAAACTGTAATAAAGATTATAAACATTAAGATTTTGATAAATGTTGACAAATTAGATTACATTCTAAAAGTAGATTAACTATACTTTTAGAGAAAGTTCACTATTTTAACAAAGTTTAACCCCAGGTTTATCATCCTAAATATGTACATTGTTTTAAATGTTCCCATTTTATGTTTGGGTTTATTAAGCAGAAAACTGCTATTAAGACATAAAGAACTGTAATGCAATATTATTTACTATAGAAGGTGAATTGTTCTTGGTCCTCCACTTTGGACCGCCTTTGGGTATCATTGTCCCATTGACAAGGCAGTTTTATAAAATTGATATTTCTAAGTAATGTATTTCTAGGTCAAGATTATAGCACTATTCATGTGTGTAATTGATTTTATGAATTTGTAGAGGAGATGACATAGCTAAGAATAGAAAATGTTTTTGAAATGTCTAAATGTTTTAAATGAAATGAACTATTGGTACAAAAAAGATGAAAATATTTGCTTTCTCATTTAATTAGCAAAGTCTGGTGGATAAAGTATCTCGAAGACAAAGACCTGATATGAATATGTTATTTCTAAATATGAAAGTAAGACGGACACATCTGGTTAGCGATTCACTTGATGAGGTACACATAATTTATTCTAAAACGGTATTAATTGATTAATTGACTAAATCTATATGACTTACTGCTGAAATCTGAATAAGTTGTTTTTTTATTCTTATATACTGTATTCTAAGTACACTATATTCCTAGTATTGTACTGCCTTATATTTGTACGGTGTTGGTGTTGTTTTTAAGTGCTGTTGAGTCAGTTCTGATCCATAGTGCCTAAGGAGTGGCTGGTGATCTTGAACCCCTGACTGTGCAGTTCATACAACTTTGCAGTCCAGCACATTAACCCACAGCGCCAGACCAGGACTCGTTTATATTTGTATAGTATAATAAAAATCAGTTCTATATTCACAATTAAGAAGCTCTGGTAGTGTAGTGGTTACGAATTGGCCTGCTATCCTCAGGGTCAGCAGTTTGAAACTACCAGCTGTTCAGTGGGAGAAAGATGAAGCTTTCTGCTCCTATAAAGATTTATAGCCTCAGAAACCCTGAGGTTCTGTATATGGTCGCTATGAGTCGGAACTGACTCCACAGCACATAATAACAATATTCACAATTAAGCCTTATATTCATTTTTATGTGTATATTGATGTTTTCATTGTTGTTGATTCCCTGGAAAAGGATTTGATATAGAACACTGAACTGAGTAATTTTTTTTTCTGAAGATTTAATCTGGATTGTAAACCTACCTCTTCTACTGATTATTTTTACGTGTTCAAGCCTTAGATTATTGTTGGTATTATGTGCTATTGAGTCGGTTCTGACTCATAGTAACCCTGTATAGGGTTTCCGAGGAGCATCTAGTGGGTTTGAACCGTCAGTCTTGCAGTTAGCAGTCCAGTGCTTATCCTTCAGTGCCACACCAGGATTCCAAGCCTCAGATTACTTATCTGTAATATTAGGGGTCAGACATAGAGGTTATATTAGGTCTTTTCAGATTCAAATTTGCTTTGATTGTATATACATGTGTTATAAAGCTTCCTGAATACACAGTGTTTCAGCCAGATCTTCATGTGTCTTTTAGAATATGATGGCTGATTTAGCTACATTTTAAAATTTAGGGTTGAATTGTGCTAAAGAAAAAGGAAATTAATTATTTTCTATTATAGTCTGCTAAATTAAAACCTTAGCGGCAGTATGACACCAGGAGACAATAATCTTGCGCAAGTTACCTGACCTCTTAATTTTCTCTCTTCTGGCGTTTTAAACAAACATAATACTACCTATCCCATATAATTTACGTAACAGAAAAATGAACAAATGAACCAACGGAATTCTTTGATGTTGTACATACGGTAAAGATTGCCTAACACAATGCCTAGAATTAAAGCAAGTTAATTCCCTTTTTCAGTGACCTTTGTTCTTTTCCACTATATAATTCCTTCCAATAGTTAACCCGGAAAAGAGCAGACTTGAAAAAGAAGTTGAAAGTGACATTTGTAGGCGAAGCAGGTTTAGATATGGGTGGACTTACTAAAGAATGGTTCCTACTTCTGATTCGTCAAATTTTCCATCCAGATTATGGTGAGTGAGTCCTTTTCTAGTTTTTATGAATAGTGTTTCTCTTCATAACTATTAGATTCAATTGGTCACCTTTATTTTTAACTTCTGATTTTTCCAAATTTTTTTTTGTCAACCATAAACGTTAAATATTTTTTATTTATTTAGAGATATCATCTAAATAATACTTATTATTGTTGTTAAATGCCGTTGAATCAGCCATACTATCTGTTCTAATAGCGAATCTGTATAGGGCTTCTAAGGAGCAGCTGGTGGGTGTGAACCGCTGACCTTGTGGTTAGCAGTTCAGTACTTATCCCACAGTGCTGTACCAGGAGTCCTTAATATCTATTATATATTATTCTTCAAAGGAGACTCTTAAGTAGTATTTTCTTTATAAAATATTTGTTGTTGTTTGATGCCATCATTTCTCTGATAATAGAAAAGAGGACTAACATAGATAAACTGAAATTTCTAGAAAATCTTCAAAATTAATTTTGTTGTAAAACTCTGATTTTATCAAATAAAATTGATTGATTTTGTTTCCATCCTTTTACCCCTACTTCCACCTTTGGTCCATGATGCCAGTGAGCAATAAAATATGCTTACACACTCTCAGTGTACACATAGCTTGTATGTATTTCTAATACACACACATATTTATTAGGATTTTCCAGTGTATGTCCCGTAGATAATCTGTTACTTTTACATGAAGGATGGCCTGAATTGTAACTACTGAAGCAATATTTTGCCTCTGACACATGAAATACCCTAGATTTTTTAAATCAGTCTTACTCATAATAAAATTATGTTTCTGTTTTTCAGGCATGTTTACATATCACAAGGATTCACACTGCCATTGGTTTAGCAGCTTTAAATGTGATAACTATTCTGAATTCCGATTGGTTGGAATTGTATCCTTTGAACTTTCCACTAGGAGGTGCTAATAGACTAGGGATAAAATTTTTGCACATATTTTCCAAAACTGAATTTACTAAGCATGTTGTTCAGATTTGACATTATTGTCAAATTTACTAATAGGTTTTCAGCAATCTTTATTATTTGTACTATCATACCTATATAATGTCAGTAAACTGAATTCTTTATTCCTAGGAAGGACTGAGTTTTTCACCCTTTTTTTCTAAAAAATTTATCTCAAATAAAATTAGTTATTTCCTATTACACATATAACCTAAATTATCAGAAATTTAAAACATTTTTAAAGACCAAGGAACCTTGTCCAATCAGAATGAAGTATGTTTTTGTGAGTTCTTTTTCTTTGTGTTGATTTCCAGTCAGTTTAGTAAATTGCGAAGTCCCTGAATGGTTCACAGTTACCAGAGTTGGCAGTGCCAGTCCACTCTGAGGCATCTTGGGAGACAGGCCTGCTGATCTCCTTCAGAAATCCAGACATTGGACACCCTATGGAGCACAGCTCTACCCTGACCTACACGAGGTTGCCAGGAGTCACAATCTACGCAGCAATAACTAGTTACTAAATCGACCTTGTGAGAATTACATCTGACTCTTTAGTATGCCCCCAAATCAAGAGACGTGAAAGCGGCAGCTGTGAAAATGGAATGGAATGGGAATTATTTGAAGCACATTGCATTATTTTACAATGTGTCTTAAGTGACATAAATCCATACACCATCATCTGATTCCCATCAAGTGAGTAGTAGGGAGGAAGGAGAAGTAAATGAGCAAGCACTAGGGATACATAGGTTAGGAGAGGGGGAAAAAGAAACCTTTAAGAAGCTTACCATCTAGATGGACAGATGAGTACCAACACAAAGTTTTCTGATCTCAGGCTCAATGATTATATGGGTGGTAACTACTAAGGAGTTCTAAGAAGGACAAGATTCAAAGTAGTCTTCCCAGAGGATATAGAGATGATATTTGATTAACATGGAATTAAGGAGAGTAGAAACACATGCAAGTAAAATTTTGCTAAATATAATTCAGAAATTACTTAAACAGCACATTGACACGGAATTTCCAGAGAAGTTCAAGCCAATTACAGATGAAGACATGAAACAAGGGATATCATTGCTGATGTATGAGGGATCTTGGCTGGAAGCAGAGAATACCTGAAAGATGTTTCCCTATGCTTTACTGACTATGCAAAGAATTTTTGACAGTGTGTATCATGAGAAGCTATGGACAACATTGCAAAGAATGGGTGTTCCAGAACACTTCATTGTGCTCATAAGGAATGTATACATAGACCAAGAGGCAGTCATTCAAACAGAACGAGGGGAAACTGAATGGTTTAAAATCAGGAAAGGTATATGCCCAGGTTGTATTCTTTCAATCTGTATGCTGAACAGATAATCAAAAAAGCTGGATTATATGAAGAAGAACATTGTATCAGGATTGGAGAAAGACTCACTAACAACCTGTGATATACAGATGATACAACCGAGCTTGCTGAAAACAAAGAGAACTTAAAATACTTACTGATAAAGAACAAAGACCACAACCTTTGGTATGAGTTGCACCTCAGTGTAAAGAAAACAAAAATCCTCACCACTGGACCACTGAATAACATCAAGATAAATGGAGACAAGATTGAAGTTGTCAAAGATTTCATTTTGCTCAGATCAACCATCAACACTCACAGAAGCAGCAGTCAAGAAATCAAGTGATGTATTGCATTAGGCAAATCTGCTGCACAAGAACTCTTTAAAGTGTTGAAGAATAAAGATATCAGTTTGAGGACTAAGGTGTGCCTGACCCAAGCCATGTTATTTTCATTACCATGTGCATGTGAAAGTTGTGCAATGAATAAGAAAGACAGTAGAAGATTTGATGCATTTGAGTTAACGGTGTTGGAGGAGAATATTAAAAGGGCCATGGACTGTCAGAAGAAAAAAATAATCTGCAATGAAAGAAGTACAGTCAGAATGCTGTTTAGAAGCCAAGATGGCAAGACTTTATCTCTCATACTACAGACATATTGTCAGGAACGACCAGTCCCTGGAGAAGGACATCATGCTTGGTAAAATGGAGGGTTAGCGAAAAAGAGGAAGACCACCAACAAAATGGATTTGCACAGTGACAGCAGCAGTGGGCTCAAGCATAACAACAATTGTTAGGATGGTGTGGGACCCGGCAGTGTTTTGTTCTGTTGTGCTTTGGGTCGCTGTGAGTTAGAACCGACTTGACAGCACCTAAAAAGAAGAGAATCGTAGGCTGAGAGAATGACTAAGGAAAAAAGGCTGAATTTTGCAGGGCCCATTATTAGCAGAGCAATGAGAAGGTCCACCTGATAGAAGCAGAGGGCACACTGGGCATTAAGAAAGTTCCCATCAGGGAAGATGTAAGCCATACTTAGCTTTCTTGAATTTGTTGAAATAAATCCTGAGGGATGTATATGGAAATTAGAGGCTGGGTGGAAGAAAAAGTATTTGGGAGAACATTACATATCAAGACAATAAACTTAAGTGTATGTTATAATTTCTAAGCATCCCAAGTATTAAGTTCTACTTATAAAAGAATCCCTAATAGTTCTTGGACTCCAGTTTTTATCCTGTTGTCTGCAATAATCATTTGTTGAATGTTTAAACTTGATTGTGGCTCCTAGTCATTGATGTGTCTCACTACTGTCTCCATCACTGGAAATTTCTGATACATTGAATTCAGGGGATATTTTGACTTTCTACTATTGTGTGGCGCTGTGCGTTAATGCGCCAGACTGCAAAGCCATGTGAACTGAAAGGTTGGTGATTCAAGCTCACCAGACACTCTTCGGAAACCCTCTACAGGATCTGTGGGTTAGAACCAGCTTGATGGCACTTCACAACAACAGAATGGGTTGCGATCATGTAAGTGGCTAGGAAATCTAATGAAGATGAAGAGAGTTGAAAAGAAGTTAACAGGCATGGGTGACCACTGAGAAAATGTAGTTGGTTTCATGTATATTTTCAGTTTTAAAATTTTTTGGTCAAAGATTTGTTGTTCCAATAGTTCCAGCAGTATTGTGGGCCTAATACAATTCATTTTCACGATAGTAAGACCTTTGTGTTTTACTGTATTACAGTAAACACTGTAATAATAATTATAAAATGTTGTAAAGATTACATAAAGCCCATAATATGGCTTTTTTTTTTTTAAGTAGAATGACCTATCCCAGAAAGAGCACCATCACTCATTTTAGTGCGGTGCAGGGTTACCGCTGCTACTCTGTTTACACCACTTGATTCCTTAGTAGCTCCAACAGGATTCCCCCCACTCAGCCCTGCTTCAACCAGACCACACTGATTTCTTGTTTATATATATGCCCACACCTTACTTGTTGACATGATTCGGTTCCAAAGACCAGGTCTTTATGAGAAAATTGGAGTTATACAAAAATGGAGGCTTTTCCTTTTTGTTGTTAAGTGCTATTGAGTTGGTTCCAACTCTTAGTGACCCTGTATAGAGTTTTTGAGGAGTATCTACTAGGTTTGAACTAAGTTCAAACCAACTTAGCGGTCTAGTGCTTATCCTACAGCGCCACACCAGGACTCCTTCCTTTCTTCAGACCATCCCATTTGTCTGATTAATTTTATTTAGAAAATATCATCATAGAGATGACTAAGAGTTATTGTTGTGCGAATCACTGTGACAAGTCCATTTACGGATTATTCCTATTAAGAATGAAGCTTGGAAGAGACCAAGCTGGATCAAATGGCTGTGACTGGAGCCTCACCACCCTCCACCCCCCACCCCCTCACACACACACAACTTAACCACCTCCCTTCCATGCTGGGTCAGAGCTTTCCCTGGTGAGCGGTCTCTGCAAGTCCTACACTCGGGATCCCCAAGCCTGCTCTGCTTTCCATGCCTGACAAGTCACTAAGTCTCGCGCTTCCTGTACGGGTGCCTGAAGCCTGCCCATGTGAGGCAGAAGCTGCAGGTCTAGGTCAGCTTACTTTAGGATGTCATTAAACTCACATTCATTTCTTCCAAACACCCTGCCTATACATCTTTCTTTCCTCCCGTCATACCCCACAGCAATTTTGAGCTGTAGGGCTTTGGGCCATATAGGATCTGGGAACCCAGAAATAATGGGGACTGTCCCTCTGGCTGATTAGGTGCTGCCTGAGAGTCTGCAGAGAACAGTCACCAAAGATTGCAGGGCACATGGCACCCCTGCTGGTAGAAGGGGTGAGGGCAGCCCAGCCCAGCTTCCTGCATCTCCCACCCAGCATCCTCCTAGAGAGAGGGAATGCTCCATAGCTGGTATGCTCTCTGCCTCATTAATGCATCAGTCAGTCAGTCAGATCATAGATTTTTACTCTGTCATAATGTGAAATGTCAGAAAATAGAGCTGGACTTCATGATCAGGTTTTCAATGGCAATCTTACAGAAATAGAGCTTTAGGCCTGTCTTCTGCACTGGATTTGAACTGTCAACCTTTTGTTTTGTTTATGTCACCTGGAGACCTGTTCTTCTTCACACAGTCTGTATTGTATTTTTAAGTAGCCGAAATGAGTATCTTCAAAATCAGTAGTGAGTTCTACAGTAAGTCCTACTGAATAAACGGCTGCAACTGCTTATAAAATCACCAACATCTTTGCTTAAATTTAGAAAATGTTTTTCTTATATGCTAGTTAGTTTATAGAAATGTCTGGAAATTCTCTCTATTCTGATTTTAGAAACACTTTTCCAGGAAAGTCATTAAATACTATCAATTCAACCTTTCCTTTTTACATGACTCTTGGTAATCAAAAAACTATGTTGTGCAAAATAAAGGGAAAATAGATGAAAGAAAAGAAAGAAGGTATGTGGGATTATTTAGAAAGTCAGTGTTAAATTTGAAAGAAGTCTGCAAGAAATAGACCCATGCATAATTCAAAACTAATTTGTTGTCATGGAATTTATGTTAATGCTTAACATTTAGTATGCATAGCTTATGGGACTAGCTGTTTATAACAGCATCACCTTGGATATCCGTTTCCCTCCCTGCTGCTACAAGAAATTACTGAGCCCTCCTGTCGTTCCTAGTGATCAAAATACACCAGTCGGAGTCTGCAGTGTTACCATTGACGACTTATGTCAAATTATGCCTGTAAGTATAAAGGTGTTAGCATCTTTGTGCCTCAATGCTAACACATCAAGTTGTCTTCTGCCTACCCGGTCTCTCTCTTCCTAATGCTATTCTTAGTTTAAAGTATGGTTTCCCTCCACCTTTGCTACCCATCTCCTTTTTCTTTCAGCGTTTTCCTTTCTTATGAGCCAACTCTATATCAATTAAGAACAGACTCTTATAGCATGTTGTTAAGTGCCAATGAGTCAATTCTGACTTATAGCAACCCTGCATAGGGTTTCCAGGGAGCAGCTAGTGGGTTTGACCTTGTGGTTAGCAGTCCAGTACTTATCCTATAGTGCCACACCAGGACTCCTTCCTAGTAGACGGCCCACTCAAATGTCCACAGTTGTTGTTATTAAGTGCCATCGAGTCAGTTCCAACTCATAGCAACCCTGTATAGGGTTTCTGAGGAGTAGCTGGTGAACTTGAACTGCTGACCTTGCAGCTCAAACCAACCTTGCAGTTCAGTGCATTAACCCTCAGCACCACACCAGGACCCCAATGTCCACAATAAATTCTTCTAATGTTTATTGTTGTTGTTGTAAAGTGCTGTAAAGTTGGTTCTGACTCATAGCAACCCTGTATAGGGTTTCAAAAGAGCAGCTGGTGAGTTTGAACTGCCGACTATGTGGTTCAGTGCTTTATCCTACAGCACTATACCAGGACTCTTGTTCAAAATACAGAAAAATTGGAGGTAGATTGCAAAGATACATACAAGAAGTATCTTGGATTTTAAAAAATGAAGAAATTAGATTAAGGCAGAAGGTTAGAAACTAAAATTAAGCTTTGGATTAGGTTAATATACACAATACATTTTGTAAGGCTTGGATGTCTATTTGCCATAAACATGCCCTGAGCATTCTCAAAAAAGAAAAAACAACCTATTATATTACCACAGTGACCTTAAGATAAAAATGAACACTGCTTCTCAATTGAGTCTGAGACAAATATCTTCTGTGAATCTTTATCAAAATGATGCTAAGTAATGCCATTCACAATGTCTGCAACAATACCCTTCAGTGAAATACAAGAGATGTGTTTCATGTAACTGTTTTATTTTAGCATTCCTCATTTGTAGGCAGACTGAACAGAGAAGTAAATGCAAAATAATACAGTCTAAATATGCAAGGTTCTGATCATAAAACATAATCCAAGGTTAAATTTTATGATCAGAAACTTGCATATTTCTATTGGTAGAAGAATAGGTAATATACGTATCCTTTTTTATATTCCCTATATTATTTTTTACAGCTAAGTTGTGATAACGTTGGGTTATAGTCTTAGCAAGTACCTAGAATATGAACAGTCTACATTGCTCATTAAGGGTCAATCCAAACAGACACTGTAACAGTCACTTAAGTTCAGTGTACTGTTGGCACCTTCCTTTGGAATTGAGAAGCCTATCTAGAATGTGAATCTGATTAGAGAACCATTCTTCATAGTATCAGACAGAGTTTTGGAACTTAGTTTGGATTCTTTCCGATTAAGAGTTTAAAATCAAATTTTTATGAAACTCAATACTTAGAAAAATACTGTGATAGGACATCTTCTTTTAAACCTGAAAGAACTCTATTTTATAACCTTATGTCTGTAATGCACTAGCTATGACCTTGGATGTCTCACTTCAAATTTAGGTCCTTTACTTTGTTATTTATAAAATGAAGGAACTAGACTGCAACTGATCAATGAATTTCCTCATTTTAGACTTCTGGGGGGTTTGTTCAACATATTCAGGCATTAATGAATTTTACCATTTTATAACTGAAATTGTTCTCATTTTCCTCATTTAGATCCTACTTTCTTGTAGTTGGTAATGTTTTATGATGACCATATCAATATACTATTTATATTATGGAGCTAAAGATGAGACTAAGTTAATTTCATATTCTTTTTTTTAAAATATTTTATTTGTGAACTGGGTGAAGGTTTACAGAGCAGATCATTTTCCTTTTCCACAATTCACACACATTTTGTTTCATGATATTGATTGCAGTCCCCACAATGTAACATCACTTATTCCACTTGTTCCTGCATTTCCTGTTTTCATTTCTCATTCTTTCCTAACGTTTCTGAACTTTGTCCTTGGATAAATGCTGCCTTTTTGATCTCAAATGGTTGGTAATTCTAAGATGTGTATGCCTCATAGTACTATTTTCCTTATAGACCAGTATGCTGTTTGGCTGAAAACTGAGCCATGTGAGTGTATTCATTTCCACACCTGAAGGGTGACTAAGGGTCATATTCTCAAGGGCTTCCAGTCTCTGTTTGGCCAGTAAGCCTGTTCTTTTTTATGATTTTGAGTTTGGTTCTGTGTATTTCTCTCACTCTATCTAGAACATTCTATTGTGATCTCCATCAGAACAATTAGTAGTGGTAGCCTGGCATCATCTAGTTCTTTTGGCTTCGGGATTATAGAGACTGATGTTCACACGGCCAATTAACCCATCGGACCTAGTTTCCATGTGTCTGATTTTCTTCACTCTTCTTTCCTCCAGACAGGGAAAGACCAATAATTAGTTGCACCTTAGGTGGCTCCACCCACACTTTTAAGATCCTAGTTGCTGCTCATCAAAGTAAGCTGTAGAACATTGTCTTTTGTGGTCTATGTTATGCAAGTTAACCTAGATGTCCACTGAGACTGTGGTCCTGAGCCCCCAACTCAGTGACGCTATCCTTCAAGATGTTTGGTTATGTCTAAAACGTTTTTACAACTTTGCCCCCTATTTGCACCACCACATTCATGGATATATTTGTAGCAAAATTAAATACCAAAAGCCCCTCTGTCAAACACACACACACAGCCTGTTCAGCCTGTGTCTATGCATCTGCTCATAGATCACCATTATTTCATGGCTGTGGTTATGATTTATTTTGTTGCCTTTAACTCTTAGACTCCTCCCAGTGCCTTCCCCCATCTTCATGAGTTTTTTGCTAACCTCCATCTTATTGTATAATGCCTCCCCCTTCAATACGTATCTACCCTCTAGACAGTAATTTACCATCCTTTTCCTTCCTACCCCTACTAACCATCAAAGAATGTTTCTTTAAATGTGAAAACCTTTTCTTGAATTTTTATAATGTGATCCAATGCAATATTTGTCTTTTTGGATTGACTAATTTCACTCATATAATATCTTCCAGGTTCATCCATGTTGTGAGGTGTTTCACAGATTCATCATGCTTTAATGTTGTATAGTGTTCCACTGTATGGGCATTTAGGTTGCTTCATATTTTTAGCTAGTGTAAATAGTGCTGGAATGAACATGGGTATGCATACATCTATTCGTGTCACAGCTCTTATTTCTCTAGAATATATACCAAGTAGAGGGACTCCTGATGTGGCACTGCAGGGTCAGCACTAGACTGCAAACCACAGGTTGGCAGTTCAAACTCATCAGCAGCTCCTTGGAAACCCTGTACGGGTCACTGTGAGTCAGGATCGACTCGACAGCACTTAACAACAGAGGGATTGCTGGGTCATAATGCATTTCTGTCTCCAACTTTTTGAGGAAGTGCCGTATTTTTTTCCCACTGCTAATGGAACTGTAATTTTATATTCTTATATAAACTTTTTTATAAGCTAGTCAAAATAGCAAAAATATCTTCCAGACGTAGTCTTAATGTGAAAAGTACACTTCAGGTTTTTATGTAGTTAAAAGTAGAAGAGAGGGAGGGATGAACTTGATTCTGACATAGCAGTGTCTCTTTTCCTTCTCGATAAGTCAGTCTCAGATATGCTCTGTCAAATAACTCTAGGGTGTTCAAACAGTGAGTAAAATCAGAACACTCTGTAAACTAGTTCAACTGTATGAATAATTAATAATATTACAACTAAGATCCTAAGATTCACAATATAGATAAGCAAAACAATTCTCAATAAAATAAGATTTATAAATACAAAGATCTGAAAAAATTACTTCTGTTGACTCAAGGGCACTTAACAACAGCAACAACAAATTATCCTGTAGCGTAGCGGTTACCAATCACACTGCAAACTGCAAAGTCAGCAGTTCGAAACTACCAAGTGTTACACGGGAGAAAGATGAGGCTTTCTGCTCCAGTAAAGATTTACAGCCTCAGAAACCCTGTACAGGGTTGCTACGAGTCGGAACCAACTCCACGGCACATAACAACAACAACAACAACAACAACTACAAAGCATTAGGACTGGAGGAAGATTCATTAACAACCTGCACTATACAGCTGATACAACCTTGCTTGCTGAAAGTGAAGAGGACTTAAAACATTTACTGATGAAGACCAAAGAGCACCGCCTTCGGTATGGATTTCATCTCAATGTAAAGAAAACAAAAGTCCTCACCACTGGACCAATAAACAACATTCTTATCAATGGAGAAAAGATTGAAGGTGTCAAGGACTTCATTTTTCTTGGATCAACCATCAGCACTCATGGAAGTCAAGAAATTAATGGCATATTGCATTAGGCAAATCTGCTGCACAAGACCTTTCTAAAGTGTTGAAGAGCAAAGACGTCAGCTTGAGGACTAAGGTGCACCTGACCCAAGCCATGGGATTTTCAATAACCTCATATGCATGTGAAAGCTGGACAATGAATATGGAAGACCATAGAAGAATTCATGCTTTTGAGTTATGGTGTTGGAGGAGAATATTGAAAGTACCATAGGTTGCCAAAAGAACCAGTAGGTCCATTTTGGAAGAAGTGCAGCCAGTGTGCTCCTTAGAGGCCAAGATGGCCAAACTTCTTCTCTCATACTTTGGACATATTGTCAGGAGGGACCAGTCACTGGAGAAGGATATCATGTTTGGTAAGGTGGAAGGTCAGAGAAAAAAAGGAAGACAATGAGATGGACTGGCCAAGTGGCAGTATCGACGGACTCAAGCGTGGCAACAGTAGTGAGGTTGGCCCAGGATCGGGCAGTGTTTCGTTCTGCTGTGCATAAGGTCGCTATGAGTCGGTACTGAGTCAATGGCACCTAACAACAACAACAAGCATATGCTTTATGACCTATTGGCTGTGCTTTTTATAATTAAACTTTAACCTTTAAAAGAAGTTGATAAATCTTTCCAATGGAGTTACTTAGTAGGGTCTCAAATTCTTAATAAAAATGCCAAGTGTCACAATGCTCATTTTTATCATAATTTTATTAGTAATTAGAATAAATTCTGGCAGTCATTTATCACTTGTCTGTCAGTCCATCAATACTGTGGTAGCTTATGGGTTGCTGTGATGCTGGAGGTTATGCCACCAATAATTCAAATACTAGCTGAGTCACCATGATGGACAGGTTTCACGGAAACTTCTGGACTAAGACACACTAAAGAAAGAAGAGGCAGTTCACTTTTCAAAAATTAGCCACTGAAAGCCCTCTAAGTGCAGTAGAACATTGTGGGATATATTCCAGAAGATGAAGGTATTCAAAATATGATTGAGAAAGATCTGCTGCCTCAAAATAGAGTCTACCTTACTGACGTAGATGGGGCTAAGCTTTTGGGACCTTCATTTGCTGATGTGGCATAACTCAAAATGAGAAGAAACAGCTTTAAACATCCATTAAGTAATGGAATGTGGAATGTGCCAAGCATAAATTTAGGAAAATTGGAAGTTGTAGTAAAAATGAAATGGAATGCATAAAGATAAAAATCCTAGACATTAGTGACCTGCAATAGATGGGTATTGGCCATTTTGAATCAATCATATAGTACACTAAGCTGGGAACAAAAGGGAATTCATTATCAAATAGAAAATTTCATTATCCTTAAAAAGTGTTATCAGTTATAGGATAACATTCATACGACTACAAAGAGGAGCAATGAACATGGCTGTTAATTCACACTATGCACCAACTACTGAAGCCAAAGATGATGAAACTGAAGATTTCTAAAAACTTCTTACCTGAACTTGATCAAACAGTCCAATACCAATGGACAACATGAACATCAGTTTCCATGACCCTTAGACTAGAAGAACCTGGCTACCACTACCAACTGTTCTGAATGGGGTCACATTAGAAGGTTCAGGATAAAGTAGGATAAATGTGGAACAAAACATAAAATTATTGAAAAAAAAAAACCAAAATACAGTCTTACTAGTTAGAAAAAGACTGGAGGAACCTAAGATAATGGCCCTGGTTCACTCTTCAGGTCTGGAACTATACTCACCTTGTGGCTCAATTTTCATCCAAGCAGTAGATAGGTGTGTTGTTGTACAAGTGCTGTTGAGTTGATTCTGACTCATAGTGATCCTGTACAGGATTTCCAAGGAGCAGCTGGTGAGTTTGAACTGCCGATTTTGTGGTTCTCAGCCCACTACTTATCCTACAACACCACACCAGGAGTCCATAGATAGGTATGTTGTTAAGTGTCACTGAGTCGGTTCCGACCCATAGTGACCCTGTACAGGGTTTCTGAGAAGCAGCTGATGAACTTGAACCACCAACCTTGCAGTTCAAACAGACTTTGCATTCCAGTGCATTAACCCACAGTACCACACCAGGACTCCATAGACAGGTATAGGGATGAAAATACTAGTGAGGTATGTACACCATGGAATTGTCAACCATTCTAGATCAAAGGGTAGCATTTAGCAAAGGACAAAATTCAGAAGGATTAGGGAAGAAGGTAGAATGGAAACAAGAATCATGGGGATGAAGTTGGATAGTTGATATTACATGAGGGAATTGCAATCATGGAATTATATGAAGTATGTGATTTAATATAAAACTCATCTACTCTGTAAACCTTCACTCAAGTCACAAAAAGTCATTTTTTAAAGAAATATTGATAATTATTGGTGATTGGATTGTGGAAATTGGAAACAGAGTAGTTGAAAAAGATGGCCTAGGTAGAAATGATGGAAGGATCACCTGGTGGAATTGTGGAAGACTAACACCTTATTCACTACAAATAACTTGTTTTCAACAACATAAATGGTGATTAATAGTCTTCACCAAATGAAGCAGAGAAATTAGTACATCTGTGGAAAGAACAACTCAACATGTCAATCAGAACAAGGCCAGGGTCCTACTGTGGAACAAACCATCTACTACTCATGTGCAAATTTAAGTTGAAGAAAATGAAAGCAAATCCATAAGAGCCAAAATGTGACCTTGAATATATTCCACCTGAATTTAATAAAAGAACCTTATAAGTGAAGATACCAAAAGGACATTTTTAAAAAAATAAGAGGGAAAAAAGACCAAAATGGATGTCAGAAGAGATTCTGAAACTTGACTTTGAACATGGAATAGTTCAAGTGAATGAATGGAAGAAATGAAGTAAAAGAGGTAAGTGGAAGATTTCAAAGGACAGTCCAAGAAGACAAAGTATTATAATGAATGGTACAAAGTCCTGGAGTTAGAAACCAAAGGGAAGAACATGCTTGGCATTTCTCATACTGAAAAAAACTGAAGAAAAAAATCCAAGTCTTCTTATGTAAGATTGAAGGACTCTATAGGCAAACTCCCATTCCAAAGACAGATTGCAGAAATCATCGAATAATACTATTAATTCACATGCAAGTAAAAATTTGCTGAATATAATTTAAAAATCATTGCACAGCAACACCAGAGATGGAGGCAGAGATGGGGACATGGAGAGAGGGAGTGGCTGAGGACCCTAGATTAATGGAAAGAGAGGGACTGAGAGCTGGCAGGGGGGAGGTAGACCTGCAGAATGTCCCCTTTGGTGGTTTAAATTATTATATATATACATATTTATATGATGGTACATGGAGGGATTATAATCATTGTAATGAAACAAAGTATATGATTTGTTGAATGTAAAACTGATGATCTGCCCTGTAAACTTCCACTCAATTCACAATAAGAACTTAAAAAAAAAAAAAATCATTGCAGCGTTACATTGACAGGGACCTGCCAGAAATTCAAACCTGGTTCAGAAGAGGACATGGAACAAGGGATATCAATGCTAATGTAAGATGGATTTTGGTTGAAAGTAAAGAATATCAGAAAAGTGTTTACTTGGACTTTATTAACAATGCAAAGGTGTGGATCATGAAAACTATGGATAACAGTGCAAAAAATGGGTATTCCAGAATACTTAATTGTGCTCATGAGGAACCTGTACATAGACCAAGAAGCAGTCATTAGAACCATACTGAATGGTTTAAAATCAAGAAAGTTGTGGGTCAGTGTTGTATTCTTTCACCATGCTTACTCAATCTGTATGCTGATCAAATAATCTAAGAAGCTGGATTATATGAAGAAGAACATGATATCAGGATTGGAGGCTTCCATTTATTAACTCATTAACAACCTGTGATATGCAGATGATACAACCTTGTTTTCTGGAATCTAAGAGGACTTGAAATGTTTACTGATGAAAATGAAAGACTATACAGCCTTCAGTATGAATTGCACCTTAAGGTATAGAAAACGAAAATCTGCACATTTGGATTAATAGCAATGTGATGGAGAAAAGATTGACGCTGTCGAAGACTTCGTTTTGCTTGGTAAACTAGAGGGTCAGTGAAAAGGAGGAAGACCATCTATGAGATGTACTGACACCATGATACTGCAACAATGGGCTGAAACAGCAACAATTATGAGGTGGCTCAGGAGCAGGTAGTGTTTAGTTGTACACAGGGTCACTGTGAGTTGGAACCAACTTGAAGGCACCTAATGGTTAACAGTAACCTGGCCTTCGAATCAAATGAGTATCAGCCTGGTGGTGGTGGTGGTGGTGGTGGTGGTGGTGGTATGCCATGGAGTTGGTTCCAACTCACAACGACCCTGCATAGGGTTTCCAAGGCTGTAAATCTTCACGGTTGCAGAAAGCCTCATCTTTCTCCCACGGAATGGCTGGTAGTGCTGACCTTGATGTTAGCAGCCTGACTCATAACCACTATGGTACCAGACCTCCTTAATATCAACCTAGATCTGTATAAAAATTTCTGATTTTAGTGGAATGGAAAATTTATTATGCAAGTATGTGAAATGATTCAAGTCATGCTACGTATCCTTTTTTCTAATAATTTAAAATTAAACTAGTTTTTAACAGACTCAAAAAAAAGTTTGAATATATTGAGTTAATTTTTGAATCTCTGTTCATGAATAACAAGTTATAATGTAAGAAAAAATTTCTTCCAATATTCTCAATTTATTCTTGGTAGAGGAGGGCAATGCAGCTGAAATATAGAAACCGCATGTATGAACAGTGTGTTTTTATATTTAAAAGATGAGTCTTAAAACATTAGAAGATTTTTTTAATATAAAATTTTTAATTACAAATACAAATTCATACATAGTAATATAACAGTAGTAAATTAAGATAAACCTCATTAGAGATTGTATTTAGCTTGTTGCTTAAAAAATACACTCAGCAGTTTGTGCCCTGTGTTTTGAACTGAATGTTTTCCTCATATATGACCTATAATGAATTTCTCCAAGTCTCAGATGGCAGAAACCATTGACAAGCATGTTAGACCCTTGAAAACACTTCTCAAACATTTTGGGTCAGCTTATCTACTTACTCTACCTCACAAGTTGACTATAGCAGATCCACTTAACTCTGGAATACTATTTTAAAAGCCAGATAACTTTTTTTTTTTTTTTAAACAGGAATTAGCCCATGGATTAAGTGAACTCTTATCATATGAAGGCAATGTTGAAGAAGATTTCTATTCAACTTTCCAGGTACTAGCAAGGGCAAATAGCTTTCTTGTAACCATGTATTTTACAAAATTGTTGTCATTTATAAATAAGCTCCTAGTATTAGAAAGGATGAACAAGGGTTAGTCACCACATAAATAAAATCTGTCTTAAAGGATTTTAACCTGATAAAGTAGAAGCAGTGAAACAGACACATGTAGTTAAGCAGTCAGCCAAATTGCTTAAATAAGTTCAAGGGGAATAGCATACTATGCTAGGCAACTAGTACGTTCTCTTAACTTGGTTATTTTTCAGAATTTTTCACCTTCTAAAAGTAAGTCTCAACCAAGAAGTTAGGAGCAGAAACCAATGGGTCAGAACAAAACACTCTTATTTCCACTCCCTTGACAATAGTTGGGAGGTGAAAATTAGTGTTTCACATAGCTCCAAAAACCCGAGTTTTGTGAACATCAGTAAAGTATTTAACTGTATTTAACACTATACAGGATTAAGCATACAAGTTTAATTACTAACAGGTTATATATAGTTTAACTTAACTATGACCTGTTAGTAATTAAATACTTTTGTGCCCCAGAATTCTTTTTTGATACCTCATCCTTAATACATACAAATATCAAGAGATTAGCCTTTCCTGTAGTATGTATATTGAGAAAGGAAAAATAACTATTCTGTTTAAATTAAAAATTTGCAATCCTATTTATTGATGCTCGCTACTATATAAACCACATCAACAAATATGCTGTGATGCTTTCTTCCACCAGGTTTTTCAAGAAGAATTTGGAATCATTAAATCCTATAATTTAAAGCCAGGAGGTGATAAAATTCCAGTTACCAATCAAAATAGGAAAGGTAAGTTCAACACCATGTTTTACATAAAATGCTTTTGTTTTCGCTTACACTTTGTACTATTGAACAGGTATAAAATTATTTTCCAGAATATGTACAATTTTACATTGACTTCCTTCTCAACAAATCCATCTATAAGCAGTTTGCGGCATTTTATTATGGATTCCATAGTGTATGCGCTTCAAATGCCCTAATGGTGAGTGTAAGACAAATGATGCTTTTAGACTTTATAATACTGTAATATTTGACAGATAATTCTTTAGATATTTTAGTAACCTTCTAAAATAAAATAAAAATGCTTTCTGCTAGAGATTTTTTAAGTTCTCCCATTTTCCCTTTTTCCTATGCAGCCCTTTCTTTTGTCTTACTTTATGTCTTTTAGAGTTTCTTTAAAAAAATTTCTCCAAGCAGAGTGGGTAAAGAAATTTTATGGGTTCAGGGTCTTTATACTGTGGGATAAACACAGAAAACAGAGTTGAATCTGAGAAGACACATCATCTTATGAATTTAGGTTACACCCATATGCGCATGCCTACAAGGGGACTTCCAAAAGTTTACGGGAAGAAAGATAATGGAGCCCCCTTGTACTTGTTGCTGTTTCTAGGATCCCTCAGCAACTCTGAGTTAACTGCTGCCTATAGGAAGTAGTTTGTCTCCAGAGTCATGGCAGACTCATCTTGGTTTGATTTCTCTGTTGTGGCACTGCCGGTTAATGTGCTGGACAGCAAGGTCAGTTTAAACCACAAGTTCGGCTGTTCAAGATCACCATCCACTCCTTGGAAACCCTATACAGAGTCACTGTGAGTCAGATCTGACTCAATGGCACTTAACAACAACAACTATATAGAATGGATCAACTGCTGTTTAGCGTTCTATGTAGGAAACAGCATAAGATACAAGCATTATTTTCTAAGGAGCCCTTGTTCTTCACCCCAGCAACCCGTGGCATACTCCATCATGCCACTTGTGTCTCTCTTCGGTATTACTATGAGGATTTGGAGGAAGGTCTTTCATGTAATTTTATATATATATATATATATAGGAGATAAGTGGACTATAAAGAAGGCTCTTTAGGGGCAGGAATAAGTTTACTTATCTTTTCCCAGTTTGAGTAATTTTTGTCACATACTTGTTGTTGGAAGTACCTTTGAAAAAGAAGCAATTTATTAAAAGCTCTTAAAGGAGTTTTGTCTGGGACACACTGTTAGTTAGGGGGGGAGGAAAGGAAGGTAAGAAATAGCAAAACATGGTCTCTGTTTTTAAAATTTTTAGTCTCTTTAAGTGGGAGACTAACCTATGTAGATGAAAGAACAGTGAATGAGTAAGTCAGAGTGTAACCAAACACCCTAACTGTGCAGTGCACACAGTTGATACGGAATAGTAAAATGAGGCAGGCAGTTCAGCAGCTGCCAGGATAGCTACAAGAGCTTCAAGCAGGCTTGAGAGAAGAGTTGGAATTAGTATTCATGCTTAGTCTTCTGCCGGCTTCTCTGGAATACTGCTAATTATCATTTGTAGAAGGGAAACATAATGACTTGAACAAGATTTATAAACTTTTTCAAAATTGAAACATATCTTGCCTCAGTAGAAAAATACTAGGATAAGTGGAGAAGAATTTTCTTCAACAAACATAGTTTGGTTTATTGTAAGAGAAGTCACAGAATTTTTAGTGATTTGATTCAGTGAGGATAGATTGATTTCATTTTCTTAAATCATTTTTAATGATCATGTTTGATACATAATTATTGGCAGCTGCTTCGTCCAGAAGAAGTTGAAATTCTGGTGTGTGGAAGTCCTGAACTGGATATGCATGCGCTGCAGAGAAGTACTCAGTATGATGGCTACGCAAAAACGGATGTGACTATAAGGTGACCTCTTCATGCTTCCTGTAGTGTGCTTGCAGAAGAGAGAATGCAGTTCGTTTACTTGTGTAACTTAAAATCTGTGATCAAGCATGGTAGCTGAAACAGAGCGTAGAGTCCCACACTGTCTTACTTATATCCAGAAAGTAGCATTAAGAATACTAAATGTGAAACTACTTAGTAATCCCTTGACAGAAGTGATATGTTTCCACAAAAGTGTAAAAGTTTGATTTTTATTTTAGTGACTTCAGCCCCAGAATTTCTGGTGTGGTGCTATTGGATAACCACAAGGTCAGCAGTTCAAACTCAATATCTGCTCCTCGGAAACCCTATACAGGGCCACTCTGAGTCAGAACCAATTCAAAGGTGCTTCATTACAAGTTGAAACCGACTCGATGGTGCTTAACAACAATAACAACATACATATAAATAGCATTTTAGTAGTAGTTGTTGTTAAGTGCTGTCAAGTCGGTCCCAATTCGTGGCGACCCAGCACAGTCCAAGGAACAGCTGGTGGGTTTGAACTGCCGGTCTCGTGGTTTGCAGTCCAGTGCTCATTCTACAGTGCCACATCAGGAGTCCTGTTGTTGAAAATATAAGACTTTTAAATTATAAGAAGAAAAGATAACATTTGTACTATCTATTGTTGGACTATTTTTCTAACTTTATAATAATTTTATAATGGTAGTTGAAAATCTAATTCAAATATAGACACTCATCGTTCATGAATTTCACGTTAAGAGTATTATGTTTATTTTAGGAAAGTTTTTTCTTTGTTTTGATGCTTACTTCATTCTTACGTTCAGGATTTTGTTGAGACAGGCAGTTAATATAAATTTCCTCTGGCATTGTCTAGATACTTTTGGGAGGTTGTGCTTGGATTTCCTCTTGATCTTCAAAAGAAGTTGCTACATTTTACTACAGGAAGTGACAGAGTACCTGTAGGAGGGATGGCAGATTTGAACTTCAAAATCTCAAAGAATGAAACTTCTACTAACTGGTAAATATCCAGATTATAATTTTATGTTAATCTGTAGGGTTTTGATAAGAGTAATAATATGTTAGTCACCAGGGAATTTATTATGTCTCAAGTAGTTTTTATCGAAAAATCTTGGGAGTCAACTTGGCTTTGAAATGATAACAACAATGGCTTAAAGTTCTCTGTTACTGATTTTTGTGACATCCCAACACTAACTATAATAAGAATTACTTTCCATCAACATTTTACTTTGCTAAATCTGAAAACTGTTTCATAGTCTTTTTTAGAGCCTTGCTTTGGTTTGTATAGTTTATCATCTTAAGAAAAATATTTTTTTTACTATTGTAAGTACTAATAGAAATCCTCTAATACTAGTCCTGGAGTCCTGGTGTGGTGCTGTCGGATAAGCATTGCACCCCAAAGTCAGTTTGAACCGCACAGTCAGTGGTTCAAACTCGCCAGCCACTCCTTGGAGACCTTATATACAGGGTCAGTATGAGTCAGAACCGACTCGATGGTATTTAACAACAACACTATTCTTCTGTTTTATTTTTAAATCTGGTGCTTTTTGTATATAGAAGTGATGATGATGGCTTTAAATTACTTTCAAATACAGGCATAACTCAAAGATATTGGTTTGGTTTGGTGTATTTCCAGACCACATCAATAAATTGAATATCTCAATAAAGCAAGTCACCTGAATTTTTTGGTTTCCCAGTGCATATAAAAGTTATGTTTACACTAAACTGTAGTCTATTAAGTGTGAATTAGCATTATGAAAAAAGTTTGAAATATTTTGAGAACTATCAAAATGTGACACACACGAAAGAGCTCATGCTGTTGGAAAAATGACACAGATAGACTTGCTCCACACAAGGTTGCTCCAAACCTCCAAAACGGTAAAGCCCAGTATCTGTAAACACAGTAAGCAAAGATGTGCCTGTCCTGGACTTGGTTCAAGCCCACCATGCTCCTTTGAAAGCCGATACAGGGTTGCTAACGCACCAACAACGACAGTGGACCCCTGGCACTGCAGTTCAGTACCTGACTATAACCCACCAGCCATTCCTTGGAAATCCTATACAGGGTCACTATGGCTTGGAACTGACTCGATGGCACTTAACAACAACTATAATAACAATGCTGATCTACTCACTTAAAAAAAAAAAAAAAAAAAAAAAAAAACCTTAAAATTTCTAAAGTGGATAATGATAATAGACACTATTTTTGGTTGCAGTATTTTTTCTCCTATCCCATACATTGAACATTCTCGAAGGCCTGTTAATTCTTTCTTTAGGCTTTTTCTCCCTCTATGCTTTAGACAGTGGGGTATTTTGCTGTTTCTCAGGCGCATTTTGGACCGGCTTTCCTGTACACTACTAAATGGTTTTGTATACATATGATGTTTGCTTACTACTGCCCTACTCCTGAAAAGCCAACGCCTCTTTAAAGACCCATTTTGAAGACAACTTCTTCTCTAAAAAGCCTTAGGTCATTCCCTCAGTGACTCCTCAAATTTAGTAAAGAAGTCATGTGGCACTTAATCGTAATATAACTCATACCTTAATCACTTAGCCTCTGAAGACTAGAGGCCTTGTCTTAATAGCTTTCTATTACCACAAAGTCAACAGGTCAAACCCACCAGCTGCTCCACTGGTGGGAGCAAGATGAGACTGTCTGTTCCCATAAAGAGTCTAGGAAACCCTAAGGAGTAATTCGGCTCTGCCCTTTAGGGTGTCTATGAATTGGGATCAACTCAGTAGCAGTGGATTATTCTCCAAGTAGACACACACACACAGTCAATAAAAGAAAATATAAATGCCAAGGTTGTTAAAAACATAAAACAAATAGGTATATGTACATATAAAATTAAGAGATTTCTACACACAATTTATTATAAGACTCAAAATGAAAAAAATTCAAAAGAATCCTTTTGACATTAAAGATTTTCATTTCACAAAAATTAATTTTTCAGAACATTTTATATTAGCAAAAGTATTATCAATTACCATTATTTGTCTATCAGTTTGTCATCCTTTGGTAGCTTGCGTGTTGCTGAGATGCTAGAAACTATGCCACTGGTATTTCAAATACCAGCAGGGTCATCCATGTTGGACAGCCTTCAGCTGAACCTCTAGACTAAGACAGACTATGAAGTAGGACATGTGAATCTACTTCTCAGAAAACTGGACAGTGAACCCCGTATGAGTATCAGCAGAACATTGTCTGCTATCTATCAGTGCCAGAAGATGAGCCTCTCCAGTTGGAAGTTACTGAAAATACAACTGGGCAAGAGTCGCCTCCTCAAAGTAAAGTCAACATAATGATATATATGGAGTAAAGTTTTCAGGACCTTCCTTTGCTGCTATAGCACAACTCAAAAGAAAAAGACAACATTGCAAACATTCATTAATAATCAGAAGATGGAACTGTACTAAGTATGAATCTAGGAAAATTGGAAGTCATGAGCTGAAATGGACTGCTATTGACTGATCATTTTGAATCAAACATATGGTCTACTATGTCAGGAATGACAAATTGAAGAATAGTATCAAATTCAGCATCACATACACCCCAAAAACAAAACATTTCCAACTATCTCTTGAAGCACAGTGCTGTCAGTGATAGGATAATATCCATACATCTATCTATAAGGAAGATGAGTTAACATGACTATTATTCAAATATACTCACCAACCACTAATCCCAAATATGAAGAAACTAAAAATTTTTTAACAATATCTATATTCTGAAGTGGATAACACATGAAATAAAGAAGCACTGATAATTACTGGTGACTGGAATGTGAAAGTTGGAAGCAAAGAAGGATCAGTGCCTTGATAATAGAACCTTGGTGATAGAAATTATGATGGAGATCTCATAATAGAATTTTGTATGACCAATAACTTACTTACTGCAAATACCTTTTTACAATAATGTAAATGGAATCTATACACATAAACCTTAACTGAAAGGAGTATACAACAATAAAACTACATCTGTGGAAAAAGAAGATGGAGACATACTCAATATTGTCAGTCAGAACAAAGCCAGGGACCAACTGAGAAACAGAGAAGCAATTACTCATATGCAATTTCAAATTGAAGCTGAAGAAAATTAAAACAAGTACATGGAAGCCAAAATACGATTTTGAGCATGCCTCACCTAAATTTAGAAACCACCTCAAGAATAGATTTGATTCATTGAACACTAATGATTGAATGCCTGTTGAGTTGTGAGATGTCTTCAAGAAAACATCATCCATGTAAAAACCAAAAGAAAGAAAAGACCAAAATGGATGTCAGAAGATACTCTGAAAACTTCTCCTGAATATAGAGTAGCTAAAGCAAATGGCCTTCCTTTAGGATGGCGGATCGGGTAGACATGTAGTGAGGAGCTCGGTCAACAACAACACAGAATACTGGGTCAAGAGGACTCATGAATTGGTGTTGGAACTCTTACAAATATAAAGGTATGTTTGGAGGTTCGGAGGGTTTATAGCTGGGGAATTTGCAGGAGAATCCAGAAATTCATTATTTTCTGGATCAAGACACTCAGCTGTTCCAGGAGCCGCCATCTTG